CAGAGATGTGTGCCACAGATAGAAAATCGTCACGAAAGCTGACCTTCGTCAGTTTTTGGAGCGCTTATTGCCTGCCCAGCGTGGTAATGTGTTGCATTCCCCACAACAAGCTCATGAGGTGGGAGAATTATTGATTCTCATTTTGCAGAGGAGGACACTGAAGAAGGGAGGTAAAGTCACTTGCCCAAGGAAGTGGAATCAGCAGCGTCTGAAAGGAGGCACAGGCTTGGCCCCACCTGCAGGGACCCCTTGGCTATGTCTGATGTGCTCTGGGAGCCATGGTGTGAACTACAGCAAAGGCAGTCATTATAAGAATGTGTTTCGTTTGTTTCATATTCACAAAGCACTTTCCTAAACAGGAACTCATGGACTCTGCAAGGTAGAGACTCTGACTCTGGGGCAGTGCCCTGTCCACAAACCTGTAGTCTGGAGGATTCCCGTAGCTTGCCTGGGGTCATATGCTTCCTCCTGAGGTCATATATTTTAGAGCAAGTCACTTGGAACCTTGATCCCCAGAGGAACGAGCCACTGCAAGGACAAACTGTGACCTGGGGAGGAGTTTGGGGACAGGGTTTCTACTCAGGGTAAAAGGAAATAAGAACCATTCATAGTTGGCAAGACAAACGTGGTTTATCTGCAGATGGGTCTGAATGCTTTCCCGTGAGTGTGCACTGGGCACCTGCCATGTCCCAGGCGCAGTGAGCCCGGCATGAATCTTGCCCTCCAAAAGTTTACAGGGGAGATAGACACAGTTGCAAACCATGACACTACAATGATGCTACGGCAGAGGTCGGCACAGGGCTGTGCCTGGCCTGGAGGGTCCCAGAGATGCTCGTGCAGAGAGATGAAAAGCTGGGTTCTTAAAAAGTCCTTGTCCACTGTCATCCCAGAGCTGAGATCACAATCCAATGTCAGGGGCTTTGCGAATTACTGTATGATCCCGCCAGCCTCTGAGCCCTGGCAGTGTGCGTAGAGTGACCCCTGGTGGCAGCTACGTGAATCTCTTTGTTGTTGGGGAAATTCCAGGCAGCCTGCTCACTGCTTGCTTTTGTGCAGAACGGCGTATTACACATTTGTTTCTCCAGCAGCAAGAGAGAGCTTTAAAAAAAAAAAAAAAAAAAAAGTGTTAATCATGTCAAAAAATAAAACAGGCAAAAGGGATGAACATGCAAATAATATAAAAGGAAGTACAAAATGGCCAATGGTCTTATAAAAATAATTTGGTCAGCTCCATTAGTTAAAAAATAACGCCAATGAGAAAAACCGCAGGATCTCATTTTCTCCAGTACATTTGTCGAAGGTTAAAAGGGCCTGCAGCCATGTGGTGCTGGAGCTATCAGGAGTGTAAATGAACACATCCCTTTGGAAGAGCTGTCAACCAATAAGTATTAAATGCCTTTAAAAAAAGGTTTATGACTGAGTCTCAGCCATTTGACTTCCACGAAAATATCCAAAAAGTGATCGGAGGGTACAGAAGAGTCATGTACAGTCATGTGTATCTCAGCTCTACTTGTAGTTGGTAAAAATTCGAAACAACTCGACTGCCCAATACGAGGGAATTGATTTGATCTGGAACTTTCTCCCTTATAGCAGAGAATATTAGGTAGCTATAAAAACCACACTGGAGAAGATCCTGCAGAGAAATGATCCTTCTATATCATTAAATGCAAAATTCATGAAGTAAAAATTTACATTTTGTATAAATAGAACTTACACAATGTCTATGCCTAGGAAAATGTCTATGCATAGAAAAAAGCCCAGAAGGGCCTCTAACACGTTCGTGTTTATGCCTGGATGTCCTGATATTCCTCATTTTCTTTTTTTCTTTTTTTCTTTTTTTTTTTTGCTTATAATTGCACATGAAAGCTGAGTCCAGACTAAGTTACAGGCAAATGTTTTCTTGAGGGTTGAAATGTAGGACGGACTGATAGAGCAGGCAGGGAGAGAAAAAGTTCCAGATCAGGTTTAGAAACCTGAGCTCTGCTCCTGTTCTCCCATCGACTTACTGTGTGACCTTGGACAAGTGACTCACCCTCTCTGAGTATTGCCTTCATTGGTTGGGACATGAAGGGGTAAACTAGACAATGGGCAATGTTTCAGTACAGCGTTGTCTTCTAGGTTGTCTCCACTGGATGTCACCTCCTTGATGCAGGAATCTAGGTATGCTTATCCATGGCCGTGTCCCCAGCTCCAGGACAGGGCCTGCCACATAGTAGGTTCTCAGTGAGCAGTTGTTGAATTGCATTGAAGTCAGCCTGGATATGATAATAAAATCCAAAAAATACACCACCAGTAACCATTTCTACCTTCTGAGCTATGGAGTGGCCTCCACGCTGCCTCCCCAGCCTCCTCCTTTTTCTGTTTATGTAGTCCTTCCTCTTCCTTCAACTTCTCTGTCTCCCTCCTTTCACTTTGAATTTCTCTTCCTTTCCCTATCCTATTCCCTCTCCTTTTCCTTTGTCATTCACATTCTTTCACTTCCTTTCTTTGATGCCTTCTTTCTCTCTTTCATTTTCTCTTTTCCCTCTCACTCCAATGATGATTTTAAGCAGCTGACAAGGTGCACAATTCTGGTTGAGTGGGAACCAAATGGATAAAGACAGGAAGCAGCTGAAGGGGACTGTGAGAACGTGGACAGCTGCAGCCGTCAGCCAGGCCCTCTGGGTGCAGGCAGGTGGCCGTCAGGACAGGATGCCGCTGCCCGGGCCCTCTGGGTTCATTGGTTCGGGTTGAGGCTCCTGCACAGGTTCTTGTTTAAAGCTTCTGGGTGACTCCATGATGTGGCCAGTGCTGAGGCCCCTGGCCTATAAGAAGAAAATGGACGGGACCCAAACCATCATACAGATCCACAGGAGGCCAGCAAGCCAGAGTGGGAGGAGATGAAGGCTAAAGAAGGCCTCATTAAGGATTGGCCTTTAAGCAGGTCCCAGAAGGGGAGGAGGTTGACCAGGCAGAGGGCGGGAAGAAAGATCCAGACAGTGTGCAAAGGCTCTGAGGTGTGGGGAGAAGAGTCCCTTCTAGGAGCACAGATGTGGGTGGGGGTAGCGGGGTGGAGGCAGGGGCAGTGAGGCCGGAGGGGGTTTGTCTTTCAGTGTAACAGGAAGCGTTGAAGTGTGAGAAGCAGGGAGCAACCAGGTCCAGTTTCCATTTTAGTGCCATCGCAGGGGACTGAGCGGTGGGTGGAAGGGAGGGGCCAGGAGCAAGAAGCAGAGAAAGCTTTGCCTGCAGCAAGCAAGCGATCGAGACCCCTCCCAAGAAGGATGTGCCAGCCAGGTGGCAGGAACAGCACACGGGAAGGTGCAGAGACCGGGGAGAGCACGGATGCCCTGGGGCAGGCAAGCAGGTTGCTGAGAGGGAAAGCTGGTGCAAAGCTGCAGGGGTGGGAACAAGTGCCCAGGCAGCAATGACAGCCCATAAACGGGCACCAGCACCTGATTTCAGCATTCGTGCTGACCCTGTAGCCAGAGGGGAGCCAAGGGGAGGCTGGCAGATCAGCAGGTCTCCCGTAGCTGCAAGAAGAACCTGAAGGAGGTGGGAGGACCAGCCAGGAGTCAGATGCTGGGTCTGCTGAGGGAAGGTGAGGACCTCGGGAGCAAGTGAGAAGGGGACAGGGCACTTACCTGCTCAATTCCGTTTCCTCCTGGCCGAGAGTCACACCTGGCACACAGTAGGAGCCTAATAAATGTTTTCTGAATGACTGCACTCGTAAATCTAAAACATCTGCTTTTCCTCAGGTTCTATCTGTCCACCCGATAATGAAACATTTATTAAGCACCTACTGTATACAGGTTAGGGTGAGGGTGCAGACAAAATGAAGCCAAGTTCTCTTCCTAAAGGAGCCCACAGTCCAGTGGAGTAGGTCGGTGAGCCAGCCAACAGCACCGGGCTGGAGCACCGTAGTGGAAGCAGCCAGGGCCGTGGGAACCCAGAGGAGACCTGTGCCCAGCCCCTCGTGGGTGGTGGGTGACAGTTGTTTTTTGTTTTGTTTTGTTTTTTTTTGCCAGTCCCATGCCTCTCCCCCATGGCAGGGGGAAAGGAGCTGCCTCTGAATTATCCTGATCTGCAGCAGGGCGGCAGCTGGGGAAGCTCCAAGCTATGGAGAAGCCCAGGAGGTAGGGTGCTGCCAAGGTACCGGGCAGTCACATTTGGAGCTTATTGACAGTTGAGGGACAGGACAGTCCAAATTCCCTGGGCAGACACCCTCCTCCCTGGGCAGGACATGGAAAAAACCTGTGCACAGGAAGGGTGCCTTCTTCCAGGATGCCCTGGGCTGCGTTCAGGGTGACTCACTGCCCCCGCCCAGGGAGGAGAGGCTCTGGACCTCTGCACAGGAAGGGTGGAGCTGGGAGCCTTTGGTGCCCTTTAGGGCAGCAGTCCTCAACCTTTTTGGCACCGGGGACTGGTTTCATGGAAGATACTTTTTCCATGGGCAGTGGGTGGGGGGGGGGATAGTTTCAGGGTGAAACTGTTCCACCTCAGATCATCAGGCATTAGATTTTCATAAGGAGCACCCAATCTAGATCCCTCACTTCCGCAGTTCACAATAGGGTTCATGCTTCTACGAGAATCTAATGCCGTTGCTGACCTGACAGGAGGCGGACCTCAGGCAGTAATGCCTGCTCGCCTGCTGCTCACCTCCTGCTGTATGGCCCAGGTCCTAACAGGCCATGGACTGTACCAGTCTGGTCCATGACCCTGATTGAGGGGACCTGGGTGCTTCTTGGCTGGACAGACACACTCCTCCAAGGACTGAACACTGCCCTCGTTATCTGTGGACAGGAGTCCAAGTGCTAAGAGGGGACAGTTTGGCCTGATGAACCAAAAGCACAAGGCCGGGGCTGTGCTGCCAGGCTGTGAGCTCTCTGCCCTCTGAGCCTCAGTTTCCTCACCTATGGAAGGGACTCAAGCTCCCTGCTGGGGAGGGGCCCCCAGGAATGGGCTTGGAGTGCACTCTTCAGCCAGGACACTGACGGCTCCTGACTTGGTCTGTCTTCCTCCAGGATGCTCTGGACTGTGTTCAGGGTAACTCACTGCCCCTGCCCAGGAAGGAGGCCCTGGACCCCTGCAGAAGCCAAGGCTGGCGGAGCTCCCTGCGGTCCGATGATGCCCCTGGACAAAGGGCCTCAGAAGGTGCGTGGGTACTGCGGTGCGTGGAGGACAGGGTCCCGGGCAACACCCACCAAAGGGCTAGCTTGCTTCCTCCTCATCATGTCCCAATGACACAGGGGAAAGGGGTGGTCCCCCCTGTCTACAGACAAGAATAGAGGCTCAGAGAGGTAGGGTCCCTCACTCAGGGTCACACAGCTGCTGCAGGGGGATCAGAGTATGCAACTCCCACCAGGGGCCTTTGGCTCAGGCTCAGCTGAACACAGGCTCATACCCTGGGCCCTCGGGAGGGTGCCAGCCAAGGGGCCTCACAGGCCAGCAGGTTGGCAGCAGGGACATGTTTTCACAGAAGTCCGTATGATGACCAGGAGCCATCCTGTCCCCCCATTTCCCACGTGACACCTCCAGTGTGAGGCAGTGAGAATCGCACTTGGCAGGTCTGGAAGCTGCTGGGGCTTAGAACCTCTTGTCCCTGATGTGAACCAATATCTCTCTCTCGTTTTTTTCGTTTTGTTTTGTTTTTGTTTTTGAAATGGAGTCTCTCTCTGTCACCTAGGCTGGAGTGGGGTGCAGTTGTGCGATCTCGGCTCACTGCAACCTCAAGCTCCCGGGTCCAAGTGATTCTCCTGCCTTAGCCTCCCAAGTAGCTGGGACGACAGGCTTCCACCACCACGCCCGGCTAATTTTTGTATTTTTAGTAGAGACAGGGTTTTGCCATGTTGGCCAGACTGGTCACAAACTCCTGGCCTTATGTGATCTGCCTGCCTTGGCCTCCCAGAATGCTGGGATTACAGGCATAAGCCACCGTGCCGGGCTTGAGTAGTGTCTTATCATATCTCATAACAGCCTCCACCGTGGCTTCCAGAGTCCCTGCACTCAGAGAGCCTGACAGCCATGGCGGCCAACTGGGCATCTGTGGTTTATTTCCAGCCCTCCAACCTCAAGGGCTGTTTAGGGGTGGCATTATCCTGCATATGTGTAGCACAGTGGTGCTGCTGACTGATGCAGCCGGCGTTCTCCCGTTATCTCATTTCTGGGGAACAGAGCTGCTATGTCGACACAGGTCAGATGTGTCCTCATGCCAGCTGTGCAGGGCTGGGGTGAGGCTCATTACCCTGTTTGACAGATGAGGATGCTGAGGCTTAGAAAGGTTTGGTGGATTTTGTCCCATGCAGGAGTCTGTGGGCTGCAGAGGTGGCTTGGAGCCCTGGGGCCTCTGCCCACCTGCTGATGGCTGTTTCACGTCTCAGCCTCAGCTTCCTCCCCTGACCAAGGTGCTGGTGGTCATCAGGCTGCCCTTGGGAGGCATGATGAGGCTCACAGTCGGGGGTGGCAGGGGGTGCCATCTTACCCAAGCCCAGGGGACGTGGTCCCTAGAGGCAATCATGGCAGAGCCCCTGGGAGCGTCTTTGTAACCCCCAGGGTCTTATTGCTTTCCAGGCCAGTCCCCGGAGGGGCCCTGCACCTGGAGCTACATCGGGTCTGGACGGACCTCTTCTGTTTTGGGTCCAGGCCCGGAGACCACAGGCAAGCTCCCCGGAGACCTGGCGGGATCCAACTGTGAACAGGTGAGGCCAGAGGCTTTCTGTGCACGTGTGCAGTGCCCCTGGGTCCCCTCAGCCCTGTCTCGTGCGGGGTGTGTGGCCACCCGCAGGAGGTGGGAGGGGTAAAGAAGCTCCAGGTCTAGAATAACATTCTGGAAATAGTTGAGAGAGAGATTTGAGGAGAGGAAATGAAACATCCTGAGACCTGGATGGGGAGTGAGGAGGAAGGGGGTCAGCTGGGTGCCAGGCCTGGGCTGCCATGGAACAGGCTTCCTCTCATTGACACCTCCTGACACCCACGAGGTGTTGCTGCCACCTCTGCTCTGGAGAGGAGATGAGATTCCAAGGGCTACTGTGACTCCCCAAGGCCCCCCGCTTGGAGGTGGACCCTGAGATCCAGGCTTGACAGCCCACACTGCCCCATGCTGGCCCTGAGGGTCAGGAGCCTGTGTCCCGACTCACCTCCCGTGGCTTGCTCTGAGGCTGAGGCAGTTGTAGCCTTTCTCCACTTCCATGTTTTTGTCCCTGAGAAGCAGAGCCATGCTGGGACCCGCGAGCCCGGCTGTGGTTGTGTGGTTCTAAATAGAGAGGCCCTCCGTTATCTTTTCATTCATTCACGTCCTGCTTGCCCTCCGTTATCTCTTCATTCATTCGTGTTCTGCTCATGATGCATCTCTTATTTTTGTTGTTGGCCGTCACATCCGTATATGCCTCACTCCTCACCACCCCCTTCCCTTGAAGCCCAGGGCAATGTCTTAGAACACGGAGGTGCCCCATTTGACAGGTGAGGTGGCTGAGGCTCCAGCAGGTTAAGGAACTTGCTCAAGGTCACACCCAGGATTGAAGCCAGGTCTCTAGGTCTGTACCTCTCTGGGGCAAATGCTCTTTTCTCTGTGGGCAGCTGGGACAGTGGCTTGGTGTCTGGATTGAAGGACATTGCAGACAGAGGCAAAGACAACAGAGGAAGGGGTGCTGCCCACCCACAGCTCCAGGGAGCAGGGAGGTGGTGACCCCTCCAGGCAGGGGCAGCGCTCCTGGCCTTCAAGCCCCCTCTGCCTGAAGGGGCTTTGCTGCTTGTATGTCCACCTCTAAAGGCTCAGACTCCCTCTGTCCTTTGAGGTGCTCCCTCTGTCCTTCTCTTCTGGGTCTTAGACCAGCTGAGCCTCTCCCACCTATTCTAGGGGTTCCACTGAGAACTGCCTGCAGCCTGCCAGGTCTGGGAGCAGCCCCCGGGGACTCCCAGTGAGCCTAGCTAAAACCAAAATTCATCCTCAGGCTTCCCCCAGCCCAGCCGGGGCCTCTGCTGTGAGCTGGGCTCCTCCTCTCTGGGTAAACACATCAAATAAGTGAAGATAAAAATACATTTAAAATATCAAGGAAACACCTCCTGTGTGCCCAGCACTGTTCTAGGCCCAGGAGTTGAACAAAGATGAAGTCCTGCCCTCAGGGAGTGGACGGCCTGCACGAGCCCCATCCATGAGAGCCTTCTACAGTGCTATTCACAGTCTGCATCTGTGCTGCCCAAGACAGTAGCCACGGGCCACACAGGGTTAGTACCACCGCAGAACTGAGTGTTAACCTTGATTTAATTACTTTACATTTTAGGAGCTCCATATGGCCCATGACTAGTGGATTGGACGGGGCAGGGCTATAAGGGGAGTTAGATGATATAGACAGAAATATATAATATGGTGTGAGGGCATGGCGGGTGCTGTGGGAGAAGATGACATGGGGTGGATGGCCCGAGAGTGAGTCAGGGAGGGCCTTCTCAAGGAAGTCATTTGCACTGAGATACGAATGGAGCCAGGGAGTGAGCCCTGAGGGCGTCTGGGGCAAGGACATTCTGGGTAGAGTGAAGAGCATGTGCAAAGGCCCTAGGGTGGTACCAGCTGTGTCCTGTGTGGGAAAGAGCTTGTCCCCTGTGCACCTGGTGAGGAGACATGGAGAACCCCAGGAGGTGAGTGGAGGTGGGGGTGCTGAATGGAGGAAGGGGCTGTTTCACACCTCATCTTCTCTCTCCATTCGTAGCTTACCCTGGCAGAGCCTAGCTTGGATGAACAGATTCTTCTCCTGGTCTGTGGCTGCCCCCCAGGGGAGTGCTTGGACAAGTCACTCCTCCCCATGGACCTGGCCCGGATTTCAGAAAATCTAGCAGCTGACCCGGCCACAGAGGCCTTTCTCCTGGTGCAGACGTCCACACTCCCTCTCTGGGGGCCGGCTGGGGACTCCGCTTCTTGGCGACCACTTCTGCTCCAGGAGGTTCCCTCAGATGGACAACAAACCCAAGAAGAGTTGGCCACCAGGTCCCCACCTCCTCCCAAAGCCACAGGACCCCCCAGCTGGGATTGTCACCAGGCAAGAGACCGCAGTGCCTCCCTCTCCCACGAGGCCCCCCACGTTTCAAATCACCGATTTCCAAAAAAACAGCCCAAGGATCTGAAAGACACTTGGAACAATGGAGGAGGAAGCCTGGGGAGGAGAACTGAAGAGGGGGAGGCAAGGGGGACTTCGGGCAGGAAGGGGAAAAACCTTGGTGACAAGCACCAGCCAAGTCAGGAAAGCCGTCAGAACCTGAGCTTGGACGACGGGGCTGGAGCCACAGGGGGCGTGCAGGACCAGAATGGGGCTTCAGAGACCAGGGCTGCCACCTGCCACCCTGGGACCTGGCAGGAGTTTTTGATGTCTCTTCTACAGGGTGAGGCCTCAGTATCAAAGGAGGGTCCCGAATCCCTGAGAAGGAGGGAAAGGGTGGAAGGATATGTCTGGGGTCTCCGAGGAGGACTGTCATCAGAGAAGGAGGAAGTGGCGCCCCTAGCCACCTTCTCCAGGTCTCACGAGACCAAAGAGCTGTGGCCAACAGATAGTCAGCTCCTCGCAGGAAGAGGCAGAGCCACTGGGAGGACAGCTAGGGACAAGGAGGAAAACCAAATGTGGCTTGGAAATGCTCTGCTTCTGCAAGGTGAAAGCCCGGAGGACGAAGGGCTAGAGGAGAAGGATGAGGCGTCGCATCAAGAAGCATCCGGTCCAGGGTGCAGGGGTGCCCCCGAGGAGCCTGACTCCCAGGAACATGAGAGCAAGGAAATGCTTTTCTTCGCAGGAGAGACAGGTCTGCCTCTGTTTCCCAGATTTGCCTTATCAGCTGACGGGGGTGAACCCACTGGTCACAATCCACAGGCTGTGAGCAAAGGACACGACAGGTGTGCACTCACAATCGATGAGCTTGCACAGGAGGTGGAGGCTTGTTTCCAGCAGCTGTCCACCCTGCAGCCAGGCCGCGGGGGCTGGCGGCGCTCAGCCTCTGCATGTGGGGGAGAGAACTGGAGCTTTGCTCAGAAGTGGCACAGTGGCGGGGAGAGAGCTCACTCTCAGCAGGTTTGGGGAAATCGGGGTATTTGTTCTGATGAAGAAGCAAAGTCTAAAGAGAGTGATGAAGGTGATAAGCTGGGGAAGACCATGGCCCTGGGCACCAGCGAAGTTCCTGGTAACCCAGGGACACTGCCTGATTGGGATGAAGCCAGCCCAAACCCTCCAGAGGGGCCCGCGGAGACCTGGGGTGCCCTCGAGAGAGTGAGGGGCAGGTTTCATCAGCTCACTTCTGGGTTGAAGAAACAGCAACGCCAGATTTTACACGACAACACCAAACTTCACGGAGACCAAGAGCGGTGCCATGAAAGGGTGTGCGCCCTTGAAAGAGAGAGAGAGCGAGAGGTGACAAAAATATCCAGGCTCAAGCGGGATAACCACAGGCTGGTAGGGGACATCTCTCAGTTAAAGAAAGAACTGGACCAATATTTACAGGTCATCTCCGACCTTGAAGACTGCAATGGGAAGAGTTACAGCAAAATTTTGGAGCTTGAAGAGGAAAATGAAAAACTGAAAGGGAATCTGGGCCAACTTCAGAAATTCATGTCTGAGAGTATCGGGAAATCCAAAGACACGATGGAGCAAGTCACTCTGGAAAACTGGAAGCTCCAGGCGCTGATCTCGGAGCTTGGCGTTAGTTACAAAGAGCTGATAAAGGATATCGTGCTGGGAATAGATGACATGATCCGGGCCTTAAGCAGGGAGAACGAGCACCTTCTACGCAGGGTCCATGTCCTGGAGAGGGAAGTCACCTTGCAGAGGAGCACGGATCAGGGGCATTTGGTGAAGGGAAGGGAGCACCTCCAGGGAAAAACCAAGACGCACACTGTAGACAAAGAGGTGCAGGTAACTCCACTCGCAGGGCAGCTGCTTTCAAGGGCCTGTGGGCCACTCTTGGCGGAGGAAGCGAGTCTGGCTGCAGGGCAGACAGGACCTTCCGCAGGCGCTGGGAATTCTAGATGCGGTACTGATTCTCCCCCTCCATCACTGGTCTGGAGAAATGCTGATGTAGCCAACAACCTGCAAGGAAATGTCGGTGGAGCAGGAATGAAAGAAGCACATATGGAGAAAGAGGAGAAGAGGCCCAGCTGTTCTGTGGCTCAGGGGCAAGCTCTGAAGTCCCTGAGCAGTGACCCCACGGTAGGTTGGGTCTGCCTGACAGCTTACTTACCACACATGACTCTGTTCCAGGGTCCACCCCATTCACTTATGCAATTCACCAGAGTCCTGTGAGGGAGGTACAATCATTCTCACCACTTACCAGATGACGGAAGGTTGGTACAAAGAAAACAGAGAAATGCAGTCACCGTAGTCGCACAGCCAGTGAGGGGTGGAGCAGGGACTCACACCTCGGCACTCTGGTCCCGGGATCTCTGTTCCCACCTGCCATGGGAGATTCAAGCCTGCCCCTCTGCTTAGGCTCCAGCAGGGCACCCAGAGAGTGTTCATACTTTAAGATCAGACCTTGCATTTTCCAACCCTGGGGTTTTTCAAGCGGCCCAAGTCCTAATTCTGTATATTGGGTCTTGAAAGTTGCAATGAAAAGAACAATGGACTGTAGAGCATGATAAAACAGGGTTCCAACCAGGCTCTGTGCTTACAGAGCTGTGACTTTCAGGCCACATGCAGACTTCTCTGAGTCCCTCTCCTCATCTGTGGACAGTTCTTGACTGTTGGGAGTCCTGCAATAAAACACTCATAATATTCTTCACCATGCGTAGGATATTTAGTGTTGAGACCCTGGCATGCATTCATTCCATTTTCTATCTCTGTTTTTCTCTCCCATCTTGCTCCACCCTCTCTGCCTCCTTTCCCTTCTCTGTGTCTCCTTCTCTATCTCTCCATCTTTCTGTCTCTTGCTCTCCCCCTCCTGCCTCCCTTTCCCTCTTTCTGTCTCTCTTCCTTCTTTCCTTTCTCTCTTTCCTCCCCACCCCCAACAATGTTATTAATCATTTCAAAGAATCTGTTTTCAGTTTTATTGATTTTATTTATTGTTTGTATTTTATTTGTTGGTTTCTTCTTAGATCTTTATTATATTCTTTTTTTTTTTTTTTTTTTTTTTTTTGAGGCAGAGTCTCACTCTGTCACCCAGGCTGGAGTGCAGTGGTGTTATCTCAGTTCACTGTAACCTCCGCCTCCCATAATCAAGCAGTTCTCCTGCCTCAGCCTTTCAAGTAGCTGGGACTACAGGCACACGCTGCATGCCCAGCTAATTTTTTGTATTTTAGTAGAGACGAGGTTTCACCATATTGCACAGGCTGGTCTTGAACTCCTGAGCTCAGGCAATCTGCCCACCTAGACCTCCCGAAGTGCTAGGATTACAGGCGTGAGCCACCATGCCTGGCCTCATTATATTCTTTCTTCCACTTTCTTTTGATTTAATTTGCTGTTCTTTTTCTTGCTTCTTGTGTTGAAAACTTAGGTCATTGATTTTCAGCTGTTCTTCTTTTGCAATCTATGCAATTAAAGCTATAAATGTCTCTCTAAGCATCCCACACATTTTGAGATGAAGTCTGTTCACTTCAAAATAGTTTCTAAGGATTAGAGATAAGGAATATGTATTGCCTATCTACTATGTGCCAAGAAATTTATGTACTACCATTTATTCCTCAAAATTGCCTCAAAATGACATTGTTAGGGCCAGGCGCGGTGGCTCACTCCTGTAATTCCAGCACTTTGGGAAGCCAAGGAGGGCGGATCATGAGGTTAGGAGTTCGAGACCAGCCTGGCCAATATAGTAAAACCCCATCTCTACTAAAAATACAAAAATTAGCTGGGTGTGGTGGCTCGTGCCTGTAGTCCCAGCCGCTTGGGAGGCTGAGGCAGTAGAATTGCTTGAATCTGGGAAGCGGAGGTTGCAGTGAGCCGAGATTGTGCCACTGCACTCCAGCCTGGGCAACAGAGCAAGAATCCATCTAAAAAAAAAAAAAAAAAGACATTATTGTAGCTAGTCCTATTTTATTGATTTAGAAATTAAAGTCAAAGAGGATGAAATAAAAACAAGCAACAATAACCCAAAAAAAAAATGAAAATAGCTTCTAATTTCTATTATGATTTCTTCTTTGACCCATGGGTTATTTAGAAACATGTTGCTTAATTTCTAAGCATCTCTGGAATTGTTCAGTTATACATTTGTCCTTGATTTCTAGTTTTATTTCATTCCTGTCAGAAAGTATACAGTATGTTATTTTAGTCTTCCAAAATTTGTTGAGACTTGTTTTATTGACCAGGTTATGGTCTATGGCCAACAGTATATCCCACATGCCCTTGTAAAGAAGGAACATTGTTTGATTGTTTCATATCAATTAGGCCAAGCTGGTTAATTGTCCTAATCAAATCTCTTCTGTCTTTGCTGATATGTTGTCTATTTGTTTTGGCATTAACCAAGACATGTTTTAAAACCTTCCACTCTGAATGTGCATTTGTGTATTTCTCTTTTTAGTTATGTTATTTAAAAATCTATATATTATAATGTTCTTTCTTATTTGTTTATTTATTTATTGTTGAGACAGTGTCTCGCTCTGTCACCCAGGCTGGAGTATAGTAGTGTGATCTCGGCCCACTGCAACCTTTGCCTCCCAGGTTCAAGTGATTCTCCTGCCTCAACCTCCCAAGTAGCTGAGACTACAGGCATCCACCATCATGCCCAGCTAATTTTTGTATTGTTTAGAAGAGATGTGGTTTCACCATGTTGGCCAGGCTGGTCTCAAACTCCTGACCTCAGGTGATCCACCTGCCTTGGCCTCCCAAAGTGCTGGGATTATAGGTGTGAGCCACTGCGCCCAGCCAGTTTATTTTATTTATTTACTATTTTTTTCTATTTGTCTTATCTGTTTTGTTTTCTTTTATTCTTTCTTTCATCCCTTCGTTTTTGGTATTAATTATATTTTGTTATTTATTTTTCTTCTCCATTAGCTTATGTTTTAGTATTATTCTTTTAGTGGTTACCCTAGGCATTTCAAAAATGTATCTAGTAATTATTTAAATTTACTTTAAATTAGTTTTTTTACCGTGTCCTGATTAATGGAAAAATTTTTCAGTAGTTTAACTTCATTTATTCTCTTTTTACTTTTTATAACTTTTTTGTTATATATTTCTCCTATGTAGAATAAATCTTATAAGTCACTGTTATTTTAAACAATCGTATCTTTTTCATTTACCCATATCTTTACATGTTCTTGTGTTGTTCATTCTTTCTTAGTCTTCTGTGGCTCTGATTTCCTTTTGCCTTAAGAACTGTGGGTTTTTTTGTAGTGAGAATTTTCTGGTGATTAATTTTCTCATATTTCTTTTATGAAAACAATTTTTTACCCTTCATTAAGTTTTTTTTCTTCCCATTGGGTTCTGAATTTTAGGTAACCAGGTATTTCACTCTCTTGGCTCTTCAAAGTCTCATTCCATTGTCTTCTGCCTCTCATAGTTTCTGTCCAGAAATCAGTCGTAGTTGTCATTGTTTTTCTCCCTCACTCTCCCTGAGATAAATGTGTTGTTTTATCTCTGACTGCTTTTATAATTTCCTATTTATCTTTGAGTTTTGGCAGTTTCACTATAATGTGCGTAGATATGGTTTTATTTGTTTTCGTCCTGCTTGTTTTTCTTTTTTAAAATTTTTTTTGAGCTTCTTGAACTTGTGTGTTTGTGTCTTTTTTGTCAGACTTAGAAAATTCTTGATCATTACTTCTTCGAATATTTCGTTCTCTTCTATTTTCTTTTCCTCTCCTTCTAGAAATTCAGACTTTTTGGCTCTATCTCACATCTTTCAAAAATCCTGTATCAGTTTTAAAAATGTGTGTTTCTGTTTGGATTTTCTATTGACCTGTCTTTTAATTCACTAATCCGGTATTCTACCGTGTCCCAACTTCTGTTAAATCTATTCAATTTCTTAATTTCATTTATTATATTTTGCAGTTCTAGAATATACATTTTATTCTTTTAAAAAGAGATTCTGGTTCTCTGTTGAAATAGTCCATCTGTACATCCATTTTCTTTATTTTTCCTATGTTTTAAAAAATATATAGATCATAATTATTTTGAAGACCTTGAGGGTTTTTTTTCTGCTAACACCAATATTTGGATCATCTCTTTGCCTGCTCCTATTGACTATTTTGTTTATTGGTGAACAGTCACATTTTTCTGCTTCTTCATGTCTAGGACTTTCAAAAACTTTTATGTTGGACATTGTGTATAATATGTTACGAAGATTCCTGATTATTGTCTTTCTCCAAAGAATGTTGAGTGAATTTTATTCTGGCAGGTAGTTGCAGGATCAGCGGATCATCTTATTCTTGTGTAGGCCTATTTAAGTTTTGCCCTCAGACCTAGTAGGGCTTGATATTACTCCTAAGGTGTGGCCCTTGCTCTTAGGGCATGGCCTCTCAGTGACATCAGCTGAGTTCCACAGCATTCACCAAGTCCTCTCCATTTTGGCTTTGCCAGAACTCTGCCATCTTCTCAGAAGTGTGTGACCTGTGACATCTCTTCACCAATTAACCTCCAAGCTGCTGTTCTTTGCAAGGCTTAGAGTCTTCTACCATGTTGCATAGCTTATGATTCAGCCAAGGACCCAAAGGACATTTCTAGGACAGTATTTGGGCTTTTATTCTCTGCAGCTCCTTTCCCTGTTACTTTGTTCCACAAACCCCAGCAGTCTTAGCATCCCTAAACTCCAAGCTCTATTTCTCCATCTAGAAGGACAACCACTTTCAGCTTGGGCTCTATTTTCAGGACCATTATTTGGAAAATGTTTCAGAGAGAAATCCAGGGAAAATGTGGAGCCTGCCTTGTTGTGCATGCTTTTTCTTAAGGATTGTAGCCCTGCACCAGTCATCTTCCAATGCCTGCAAAACATTACTTGTATATATTCTCCCCAGATTCTATAGTTGTCCAACACCAGTGAGTAGGAGTGTGGAAATCTGAGGAGCTGAATACTGAGCTGAGACTTTCAAGGTTATAAAAGAGCAGCGAGGAAGAGCATTCCAGGTAGAGGGAAAAGCGAGTGGCCAGGCCTTGAGGCAGGACAGAGGCTGGCTCATTGGAAAAACAGAAAGTAGCCAGCGTGGCTGGATTCCAATGGGCAAGGAGGGGTGTAGTGTGAGATGAGGTTGGAGAAGCTGTCACAAGTTAGGCTGTAGAAGGCTTGCATGCCCTTGTTTTGATCTTTTCTAGATGTCATAGGAAGCCATCAGAGGGTTTTGAGCAGAAAGATGTGACCCAATTTTTACTGCAAAAAGATCTGCCTGCTCTGAGAACAATGATTTGGGTGAATTGAAGGAGAACAGATTGAAAGGAGTTGGTGGCTGGATAGCCAAGAGGTGACACTGGGGTTGAGAAATTTGGAGTGAAAACTGGAGCTGGAGTCCATGGGACTTGGTGATGGACAGGAAGTCACCAACACCTGATGTGTTACTCTTTGACCTAAAACCCTCTATGGCTTCCTATTGCACTGGACATGAGATCCCAGCTTCCTACAGTGAGCACTGCTCTGGCCCTGAGACCCTCAGGAGCTTCCACTGTTGCTGCTTACACTCCCAACCTCCACACTCCATGCTGACACCTCTGCCCTCATTTTTCACCTTCTTCATCCACCCCTCCCTGCACCCAGCTTTCTCCTCTAGGTCTCCTGTTGGGGTCCTCTCCTCCAAAAAGCTTCTTCCCACCCCCAGGCTGGGTTCTGTGCAGAGACGAGTCAGAACCAACTCATGTGCATCTCCTCCCAACTCTGCCTTCAATGATACCATTTTGGTAGCTTGTAGTCAGTCATGGTGGGAATATTTACACCATGGAAACTGGCAAATGCTACACATTGGTACTGTCCCTGCAACCCAGAATGTGGTTGCTATACAGTTGCCACCCCCCAACTGGATGATGTCTCTGTTCAGTGCCCCCTTCAGGTCGTCAGAGCCTCCTGGCTTCCCTTTATCAGGCTGCATTGAATGTTGAATTACCTGCCTGTCATTCTCCCCACCAGCCTGAGCTCCTGGAGGGCAGTGTCAGCACCGCCCATCTCAGGCCAGTGTACAGCCAGCACATGTGCTCATGATGTCTGCTAGACAGCAGGAGACTCACTGGGCAGCTCACAGGGCTACTGTGTGGGGTGGTCCCATGGGACAACAGGCTGGCCCCACCTGCCCAGCCATTCTCTTTAGAGGATACTTGGGTGCTCTCTGAGGACCCATGGGACAAAGCCCCAGTCCAAGTCACTGCCAGAGGAGGGAGGCAGAGGAGGCAACGTACTTCCCAGAAAGGCCAAGTTGTTTTGAAGTCTTGGAGCTGAATTTTACGGGACCATTCGGAGCACCCATCTGTTCTTGACAGGGCCCAGCCTGTGCATCTCAGGCCCACGTGGTGTATATTTCTATTAATTAAAAATATCTTCTTCTGCTATTGTATATTTTATTACAAGAGAGATGCCCCAGCAGCCATGGAGCCACCTGGATTCTTCCTTCTCCTCCTCTTCTCCCTCATCTCTCTTTCCCAAGCAGGGTGGCTTGGGTTCCCCCTCCTACCTACCCCTGCTAGGTCGGGATGAGTTTTGGGGGTCTTACAACTCCCAGGGAATCTGCCTTAAAGGAAAAGGGAACTGATATCACAAGGGGGAAGGGCGTTTGAGAAGCATCTGAGTTTCTGGGCTCCTAAATCTTCACAAATGGAACTTTCAGCAGTGCTGTTCCCTTCTAAGGCCGCCTTAGCAGCATGAACCAAGAGCTTAAAGATGCTCATGTCGGGCTGGGCTGGTGGCTCATGCCTGTAATCCCAGCACTTTGAGAGGCCGAGGTAGATGGATCACCTGAGGTCAGGAGTTCGAGACCAGCCTGACCAACATGGAGAAACCCTGTCTCTACTAAAAGTACAGAATTAGCCGGGTATGGTGGCACATATCTGTAATCCCAGCTACTCAGGAGGCTGAGGCAGGAGAATTGCTTGAACCTGGGAGGTGGAGGTTGCGGTGAGCCGAGATCACGCCATTGCACTCCAGCCTAGACAACAAAAGCGAAACTCCATCTCAAAAAAATAAATAAAAATAAAAATAAAAAAAGATGCTCACGTTGTTGAGCCACAAATACCCCCTGATGATCTCAGGGAAAGCGCCAGAGGTATGTCCAAATATTTATGTACAAGGGTCTTTGTCACAGTTCCAATTGTAACAGCAAAATGTTAGAATAATCTGAGTGTTCAGCACAGCCACAGGAGGCTGCGTATATACTAATAACAGCATTTTCAACATTATTTGGTAATATGGAAAAACGCCCAGGACATGGTGTTAAGGGAGAAAAGCAGAAAACAAAAGAAATATATCGTATTTTAAATTTTATATAGAAAAATATGTGTTAATATGTATGTTTTTCTATGCTTGTGTGTATGTATGTGAGTTATTTTAAAAAATAAGAATTTAGACTTCAAAACCATTTGGGGGCAGTAGCACCTCTCCCATTTTGCCACACTTCCCACAATGCAAAGCCAGCCTCTTCCCTCTCACTGTCCTCCCTCCTGGAATTTCCCTTTGCCATCTGAATGAAACCCGCTACTCTCACGTTAGATCCAAGAAGAGTAAGAGGCAATTGTGTATTGATTTAAGAAAAGTGCCTGTGGGAGATATAGTGTCTTCTGTTTTATATAAATGTATTATGCTTTAGCGTAATAAGCATCTCATAATTTGATTGGAACATTCAATTTCACTCATCACCCTGTTTCAGTATAACAGTGACTGGCATCTATTACAGCAGATTCTGGAATGTCACCCCACTGCACATAATTTTGAAGCTAATATTCCACGCTGTTATTCTGGGACTCTCCAGGCCCTCCCCAACGTCCCCCTCCGGAAACCAAGCAGAACCACCCACTCTTATACACGCGCATGTCGAGGGGCTTAGCAGGAAGTCTGCAGAAAATCTATGGATAATAAAGCTTCCGCAGGATAATCGGATTGGGAGTGATTTCTGCTACCCTATTTTCTAAAACTGTTTTACTGTAAGGGAAATGTAAGTGGGAAAAATAAAAAATAAAAAATAAGGAGTGGGAAACAGGTACAGTTTGTTGGCTAAGGCAAATTGTTTGGAAGATAACCTAAAAATTGCATTCAAATCCGTGCGTTCTGCAGCTCCAGGACTCAGAGGCCGAGGTTACTGAGGAGGATCCCAGGCTGCGTGCCCAGCAGCTCCATCACCGGGTGCTGACCCTGCAGTGCCAGCTACGGGACCAGGGCGCTGCCCACCAGGCGTCTCGGGACGAGGCTGCCCGCCTCCAGGAGGAGCTCCAGACCAAGGTGTGGGAAGCACTTTCTTTCCCCTCTTGTCAGCCAGGGCTCCCACACCCCAGGGCGTTTGGGGAATGGATAAGGATAAGTTGAGCGCTCCCTCACCCTTCCAGCCGGTCAGGAGCAGGTACTGGATTTTTTTTTTTTTTAAATTTTTTTTTTTATTATACTTAAAGTTCTAGGGTACTGGATTTTTGAAGTATAGGACAGTACTAGGAAGGAAAACACAGACTCTATGATCCCTTCTCTGTTAAATTTAAAACTGCACATATGTGGTTTCTTTAAAAAGTCAAGCAGGTTTACAGTGTCATATAAATAAAAGTCAAAGCCCTTCCTCTGTCGGAGGGAAGTGGATGTGTCTATGACACAGCGGTGCAGATGCAAAAGTATGCAGGTACCAGAATTGCACAGAATTTAACACGCAGACGCACACGCGTAAAACTGGAGAGAGCTGAAAAAGCTCAGTGAATTGCAGCCATTTCAATTCCTGGTTGTGATATGACACTATAGTTTTGCAAAATATTCCCACTGGGGGAAACTGGGCAAAATGTACCAGGGTGCACTCCAGCCTGGGTGACAGAGCAAGACCCTGTCTCAAAAAACGTGTAAGAGAGAGCTCTCTGTATTGTTTCTTAAACTCTCTGCAAATCTTAATCATCTAAATTTTTTAAAATAAAAAATATAAAAGCTTTTCTTCTTCTCAACCTCAACCTTTTCTGACTTCCAATATTTTTTCAACCCTATCTACCCACTTTCTGAATGTGTGTAGATGTGTACATGTTTGAAATTATACCATACAAAACTATTCTGCATCTTCATTTTCTCATTTAAGAATCTTATGGTATTTTCATATCAGCACATACAAAGTGACCTCATTCATTTAAAATCGTGTGTATTATGTCATCATGAGGCCAAATCATAACTTGTTTAATCAAGTCTTTTGTTGGTGGAAGTTCAAGTTGTTTCCGTTTCTTTGCATTACAAATGCAGCTTCAATGAACGTTTTTATCTCTTGGCATATACATCTGCTGTATATCTAAATGGAAAATTTCCAGCAAAACGAAGGATATATAAATCATTAACTGTAATAGGTAATGGCAAATAATCCTCCAAAATGATAGCATCTTTTGCTATCATTAGCAACGAGTCTACTCATTTGCCCATAACTTGTTATCCTGAACGTTAGCAACTTTACAATTTTTGGACAAGTTGATAGATGAAAAATACAGCCTCAGCATTACAGTATAATTTCTGGCTCTTTTCCCATGTGTTTTTTGTAAGACCAAAGCATGTTATATGTAGAGTTTTATGTTCATTTGTCCATGTGGCTGCATAGTCCTCATACGTGTGACTGTTTGACTGTGTAGTAATCTATGATTTTTTTTGTCTGTGATTGACTGTGTAGTAATCTATTGGGTGGATGTGGTTTCCTTAACTATTCCCCAATTGTTGCATCTAGAGCTATTTCTATGAACTTACAGATAACTGTTTATACGTAACAGTTCAGAGAACTGGGACTACTGGTTCCAAAGGTGGGAATATTGTTGAGTCTTAGCTACATATCACAAATTGCTTTCCAAAGTGGTGGTATCCACTTCCATGCCACCAGCAATACATGAGTGTGTCTCATTCACTGTGTCTTCAGCCAACACAAGAGCTAGTATTGCTTTTTTCTCTTATCTGTCACTGGCCTGTGGGGAGGGGGTGTGTGTGGAAACTTCAGTTACACATGAATTAGACTTTAAGTATATTTTAAATTATTTTCATTCTTTTTTCTTTCTGCTCAGTTTCAGTATTTCCTTCAAATCTCTCTTCCAGCTAAATAGTACTCTTTGGATGAATCTAATTTGTTCTTAAACTCACTTTAGTTCTTAATTTCAGTTCGTCTATTTTGCAGGTTGAGAATTTCCCTAGGATTCTTTTTCGCAGTTCTCAGTTTTATGATGAAATTTTTGTAATATGATTCCTGAACATCTCAATCGCAGTTGCTTTAAAGAGGAAGAGTGTCTCTGATAACTTTATTTCATGTTCTCACCAGCAGTGTAGGAAGGTTCCAACTTCTCACCCTCACTAACATTTGCTACTAGTCGTCTTTTTTATCATAGACATCCTAGTTAGTGGGAAATTGTCTTTCATTGGTTTTGAGTTGTATTTTCTGATGGCTAATAACGTGGGACATCTTTTCATGTGCCTATGGGTCATTTGTGTGTCTTATTTGAAGAAGAGTTTATTCAGATTCTTCCCATTTTTCTAATAGGGTTAATTGACTCTCTTTTTGTTAAGTTGTGAGAGTTCCTTTTATGTTCTAGATAGAAGTCCTTTATTAGATATATGATTTGCAAATATTTCCTCCAATTCTGTAGGTTATCTTTTTAATTGCTTCTCGTTCGCTTTTTGATTGCAAATGCTCAATGCTTCTCTCACTGTGGCATATTTATGTTATTTCCTAAACTGAAGCAGACGGAAGGTTTAATCCAAGCCTGCAAATATGATTGAGTGCCTTTTGAATATAAGACAGTCTGCTTAAAGCTGGAATTTTACTCTTTGAATATATTAGGAATGGTGTGCCAAAAACAGATATATGGAAATGTTCACTGAAATCTTGTTTGTAAAACAAAGAAACAGAACTAATATAAATTTCCATAAACAAAGAACTGGTCAAATCAATTTGTTTTGGCTTCGTGATTAAATAATATGCAAGATTTTAAAAGAATGAGGTCAGTTTATATGTGTTAATATGAAAATAGCACCAAAATTTTTGTATCACATACAAACTGAGCTCATTCTTTTAAAATCTTGCATATTATTTAATTATGAAGCAAGATGCAAGATCTTTTGCATAGTATAATTTCATATACACACATTCTGACCCATATGGGTATGTTGGTCAAAAGAGGTTGGGGATAAGGAAGAGGTTTGTGGCTTTTTATTTGATTTTTTTAACTGACTAAAAAGGGACTGAGAGAGTTAGAAGAACTCACACAACCCCTGCTTTGTTGTATCTTATGGCTCAGGAATTCAGACAGGACTCGGCCAGGCTATTCCGCCCTCCAAGGGATCGGTGGGCATGACTCAGTGGTATCCAGCTGGATGCCAGGCTTGGCTGGGGGATCCCTGGCGGCCTCACTCACGTTCTGGCCCCTCTGTAGGGTGGCGGAAGGCAGCCCCCACCTGTGCCTTCCCTTTTTCTGTCATGTCTCACAGTCTCCCCAGTGGGCACTTGGGATTCTTAAATCCTGGCTCAGAAACAGAAGAGACCCCAAGTAGAAGCTGCCATTCCTCTTCAAGGCTGGACCCACAAAGGTCCCAGGGCCACTTCCACTGCATTCTGTGAGTCAAGGCTTCTCAGGCCAGCCCGTATCTAAGGGAAGAGGATAGGAACCCCCTCCACGGGGAGCAGTCTCAAAGAATCTGTGTCCAGCTTTCATCTGCCCCTAATAGTAACATGAGTTTATTGATCACTGACAGATGCCAGGGCTTGTTCTAAGCACTTTACATGGATGGGTTCACTGAATCCTCACTACAGTTCTCACCAGCGGTGGGGGGGGGGGCACTCATACGAGCCCCCTTCACAGATGAGAAGACTGAGGCAGAAAGAGTGTCTCGCACAAGATCTCAGTTCCAGCGACTGGCTGAGCCGGGATTAGGACCCCTGGTGTCTGGCTCAGGAACTTGTATATTTACCACAAGACCGGAAAACTGCCAGGCTGCTTGGAGACTCAGAAGAGAGCTTGGAGTTGGCTCCGGCCACTGTAGCTGGGCAGAGCTGATTCTTGAGTATTCAGAACATCTGTCCTCCCATGATCCTGCCAGGCAGGTGGTGGGAAAGGCCCCTGTTCGCAGCACTGAGTCCCCATGAGGGTAAAGAGGGCGGGCAACTGCCAGCTGCTCTGAGCCCGGCTTGCCTGGGGAAACTCTGGACAGTGGTAAATGACAGTGCAGTGTTGTCAAAAATGTCGCTTTCATTTCAGCTTGAAGAACTTCAGAAAAAGCAACATGAAGCAAAGTTGGCGGTGACTCCCCTGAAGGTAATATGTCCATAAAATCAATATGAAATGCCTCTTTCAAAACAGGGAGCTTAGTATTTTTCCTATTAGACATGTAATCCACCTCTATTGTATAAAAGTCTGGAAAGGGCCAGGCGCGATGGCTCACACCTGTAATACCAGCACTTTGGGAGGCTGAGGCGGGTGGATTGCTTGAGCTCAGAAGTTTGAGACTGGCCTGGGCAACATGGCGAAACCCCACCTCTACAGAAAATACAAAAATTAGCCGAGCATGGTGGCATGCGTCTGTAGTCCCAGATACTTGGGAGGGCTGAGATGGGAGGATTGCTTGAACCCAGGAGGTCAAGGCTGCAGTGAGCCGAGATCACGTCACGTTCTCCAGCTTGGGCAACAGAGCGAGATCCTGACTCAAAACAAAATGAAACAAAAAAACTGGAAAGAATGAAGGAGACAGAAAGCAGCAGCCCCTGCTTGCACATGGTATTTCCATGTCTTTTCCTTCGGCGTGTTTCGCATGTGTTTGAGAGCCTACGATGTCTGTACGTTTGCCTCCTGCTGTTCCCACTCAATGGGGTGACCTAGGAGGTGGGTTCCAGCCTTTGAGGCTGCACTGTTCGTGCTGGGGTGAAGCGCGGGACGCCTTGGTTCATAAAATCACCACCCCTGCACTGTGTGCTCAAGCACCTTCCTTTCTATCTCGCTCTCTCTTTTGTATCATTAATTGTATATAAACACCGTGATGCACTTTTGTTTTTTGAGACAGAGTGTTGCTCTGTCACCCAGGCTGTAGTACAATGGTTCGATCTTGGCTCACTGCAACCTCTGCCTCCCGGGTTCAAGTGATTCTCCTGTCTCAGCCTCCCAGGTAGCTGGGATTACAGGCGTGCGCCACCATACCTGGCTAATTTTTGTATTTTCAGTAGAGATGGCGTTTTGCCATGTTGGCCAGGGTGGTCTTGAACTCCTGACCTCGTGATCCACCTCCCCTCGGCCTCCAAAGTGCTGGGATTACAGGCGTGAGCCACCGTACCCGGCTGATGTAGTTTTTCTCAGAAAGGTTTTCTCCATGTATCTAGACATTTATGTTTAAGATCAACTCCAGAAATGTCATTACTCGCCCACGGGGTTTAATATGTTCTTTGCTAGCAGGAGACGGAATTTGGTTAAGGTAACACATTTCATCTTGAACATGGGCCTGGATCTGGGGAGAAGCTGGGGGCTCTGCTCTTTCTTTCTGGTCTCAGGGCAGAGTGGAGAGGGAGGTGCCCTGGGCTGGGCATCAGCAGAACCCGGTTATGCCCTGGACTCCCGCTGACCTGCAGAGTCATCCTCCCTCTGGGGCCTCAGTTTCCTCAGCCATCAAATCAGAAACATGAGCCACACAGTTCCTAAAGTTATTTCCCACCCCACATTTCTGTGTCTGTCTGAGTCCCAAGTTGGCGCCTGTAAAATGAAAATCATCATAATTCCTGCCGAGCCTCTGCAGACGTGGTAGCTGGGAAGGTGCAGAGCAGACCGTGAAGCTCCCACAGTGCAAGGCTTCCCTCCTCCTCCCTCTCATTGCCATCATTTGCTGTGGAGCGTTTCTTTAAATGAAGACCACAATCCCTTATAAAGTGCTGTCTAAATGTGAGATAAGGATAGAAACACGACACTTGGTAGGTGCCTCCCTGCACCATCTCCTTTTATCCTGGTGTCCGTGACAACCCCCATTGTACAGACGGGCAAGTCGAGGTGCAGAGGGGAGCCTGCTCACAGAGCTAGTCCATGGTGGGGCCCAAATCCACGCTCTTGACCCCTGCTGCCTTGAGCCTAGACCATGGGAGGGCAGTGGGGAGCCCCTGGGTGTGTGGCCGTCTGCTCCGAAAGCAGCCTGACTTCTGGGTGCAGGGAGGCGTTGCAGGGAGGAGCCTGCTCCACTGAGCAGCGGGAGAGTTGGGGATGGTGAGTAGGGGCCTCAGCTGACCCTCCGGCCCCCAATCCCCCAACTCAGCCACACAGCCCTGGTGGTAGCTCTGCATCTGTGGCCTCCCTCCCTTTCAGGCCAAGATAGCTTCCCTGGTCCAGAAGTGCCGGGAGAGGAACCGCCTGATCACCCACCTGCTGCAGGAGCTGCACAGACACGGGCTGGGGAACCTCCCGCTCTCTGAGCTGGCACAGAACATGCTCAGCGACGTGGCACTGGCTGAGTACGCGGCCACCTTCCTGGCTCCGGGAGTCCCAGAGGTAGAGTCCCAGAGACGGCCCTGTCTCTGCTTCCTATGGGGTGTGGGCATGTCCCTTGCATGCCCCTGCCTGGCCCGAACAGCCCCTCCTTTCCTCCCTGTCTCCATCCACGGACACTATCCAAGAAGACACCCCCTGGCTTTTCCTCTGTGCCCGTGCCCATGCCCTGGGTGGGCACGGGAAGATGCATCTGGCAATCCTTACCCTTTACAGTGCTCAGGAAATGGTGCAGTGCACAGATGCAAACCGTGGTTGTAATTTAGCATCGTACAAGCTTCACTGCATGTGTCACAAGATGGATCTTTTGTGCCGGGACCTGTGCACTGGCCACTTCCTCTGGCAGGTTGCTTCAGTCACCCCAGGACCTCCTGTCCATCCTTCAAGGTACAGGTGTGACCTTGCCCAGGCAGCCTGCTCTGAGCCCTGCAGACCAGAGTTAGCCACAGCCTCCCCTGTGCTCCATTGCCCGTGGCTGCGCATGACGGGGCATGAGCAGGGAGCTCTCCCGGCTGTTGCAGGAGTTTGCAGGCCCCTCTCCAGTGGGCCCAGAGCCACTCCATAGCCATCTTTGTCTTCCCAGTGCCTGGCTCTGAGAATCTGCCACAAACCTGGAGGAATGTTTGTTGAATGAATGAAATAATGAACCAAATGAATGAGAATCTCCTCTTCCAGTGGTCAACAAAAGAGGAAATTGAGGCCAGAGAGGTTAGGAGATGTGCTCCGGGTAACACAGGCAATGCAAGTAGAGATGAATGCCAGCTCTCTTGACTATAGTCAGCACCCATGGGTGCCCAGCCATGCCTGCCCACACACATACATGCAGCCCCGTTCCTGGGGACAAGCCAGCAACACCCCTGCCAGACCAGCTCCGCTCCTTATGTGCGCGGGCAAGACGCAGCTCCCACGGTAAACACAGCCGGGGCTGTTTTCCACGGTCCCTCCAGGCTCTGCCTATGGGATTTGCTCTCAGTCCCTTGGCACCAGGTCTGAGTCTCCCTCTGCAGCTCTGCCCAGCCTGGTCTCTGCAAGGCCAACCTCCTCTGACCCTTCCTTTCCCTCACAGCCTTCAGAGGTCCCTTCTGGTCCAAATCATTGCACAGCAGAGATGGAGTCCTGGAGGCCAAGAGGCATGTTCAGGGCCATTTGTTGACTCGGTCCATAGGCAGAACTTGAATCCAGAGCCCTAGGCTCCCAGTCTCTTGCTCTTCTCTTTGCCCAAGGGGTACAGGACTCCTTCAGAACTAGAATAGGGGTGAGAAAAGAGAGCAGAATTTTGTCAAAGTGCCTTCATAGTCCTTGAGATCCACTACAGACCTGATATCTGGGGGTTAAGTGAGATAAAATTGAAAGCAGGCTGGGTACGGTGGCTCACGCCTGTAATCCCAGCACTTTGGGAGGCCGAGGCAGGCAGATCACAAGGTCAGGAGATCGAGACCATCCTGGCCAACATGGTGAAACCCCGTCTCTACTAAAAATACAAAAATGAGCCAGGTGTGGTGGCGCATGTCTGTAGTCCCAGCTACTCAGGAGGCTGAAGCAGGAGAATCTCTTGAACCCGGGAAGTGGAGGTTTCAGTGAGCCGAGATCACACCACTGCACTCCAGTCTGGTGACAGAGCAAGACTCCATCAAAAAAAAAAAAAAAAAAAAATCGAAAGCAGAGTTCCAGGTTGTGAAAGTATCAAATAGCAAATGCAGCTGGTGTCACCCTGGAAGGTCAGCTGTCTGTCTGCTGAGGGGACATCATAGCAGCGGCCCACCTTCCAAGGGCTGCTCCCCATTCTCATAGGCCATGGAGCTAGAATTGAAATGTTCACTGGGGTTGGAGAGACCGACTTACAATGACCAAACTCACAGAGAATGATGTATACACTGGAACATTAATTTTTAAGTTTCCTATGAGAAATAGAACTATTACGCAGGTTGAAATATCTGATGGATGACCAAAAACTTGTCAGCATATTCTCTCCTTATAGTAGAATTATCTGGAAAATCAAATTTTTTCATTCATTTCTTTATCTGTCACTTGAGTGCCCAGAGTGAGAGCAGGGAGAGTTATTATAATAATGTCATTGGACGGATTCATTCATCTCCTATAAGGATGTGCTTCTGGGCCCGGACATGCTTCCGTGGACCAGGGTGTCCCTGACAGACCTTTTGAAAGTGAAAAAAAAGTATGATGTGTTTCAGAAATTCAGAGAACTCCAGGCTGCAGAGTGATCCCCAGGGGAGGAGTTGGGGGAGGCTGGGCTGATGGGAAGCCATGGGGAGGAGTGGGGAGAGGCTGGGCTGATGGGAAGCCATGGGGAGGAGTGGGGAGAGGCTGGTCTGGATGGGAGGTCACAGGCACCTGTGCCCCGGCGGGGTGTCTGCATCTTGGTTCTTAGTGGAGAGCAGGGTGGGAGTGGCGTTGGCAGCTCCTCCTACTGGTAGCCAGGCAGGAAGCGGATCCAGTGCTGCTTGCTTGATGGACAGTAACTCTCGATTCAGAGGACACAGATGGAATTTCTGATGGAGGCCTTTGGGCTCTGGATAGGAGCCCAGGAGGACTGCCAGGATGGTTGAGGAGACTCTGATGGGCTGGAGGTGGGAAGTGCCAGAGCAGCAAGGGACAGGTCTTGGGAACTCCAGCCAGGCAGTGGAGGGCTGATGTACCTTCCAGGAACAGGAGGGTCCTGGGCTCCTGGTGCCCACAGTGTCCTGAGACGCTCCCATTCTCTGGCCCCTACCTTTGGGACGGGGGCATGGGCTGGGCTAGGGTCCCAATTGGACAGGCTGCCTTCATTTATCCAGCCAAGCCACGCTGCCCTCCGACTCGCACGCTCTCCCTGGATCTGCTTACTCCACCTTCCCAGCATCCCGCTGCAAGGGTCCACAGGGGACCCTGAGCCTCAGCACGTCCCAGGGCTGTTGAGGGGGTGGGGGCTGGGCCTCGGGCTGGGGCCACTAAGCTCTACCCTTTCAGGAGGAGGTGGCGTGGCCTGGTGCCCATGCAGGCAGCAGTCGGTGAACACCTCCCCTCCCTGCACGTGACTGAATCATTGTATTTCCATTTTCTTTGCTTGTCCTGGTTTGGGTGGGTGGTGGAAATTGAGCCTCAGTCAGTTCAGCCCCAGTGCCCTTTCCACAGGCATGTGGCGATGGGCTGGGGGCCATGGGTGCTGGCGCCGCCGTCTGTGCTGGCATCTGCTGTTGTACCATCCCGGTCACTAGCATCCATGGGTCACCCTTGTATCCGCCCTGGCTTCCTTCCTCCTGCTGTGCTGATTCTCTCCAGCTCAGGTGCCTGTTCTGGAGATGGAGGGAATCCCACGAGGTCAGGCTGGCCATGGCAAAGGTCACTCTTCCTTCTGCTGGGAACACAGGTCTTGCCACCTCCCTGATGTTAGCTGGAGATGGGCCATCAGGGAAGGCAGGCTCCGGCTGTTCTCAGATTCCTAAAACCTCTCTGGAGTTCTTAATTCCACCTTGTCCCCTGGACGCCTTGAGTGAGCAGGGCTCAGGGCACCTTGCTGGGCCTGTTTTGCTTCCTCTCCTATGCCCCCACCGACCCCTAGCCCCAGGGGGCCTTTTATTTTTCCTGTGTTTTGCCTGGACCTAGTCTGTTGATATTCACAAGCGTGAAATGAGACACCTTTGCTGTCTGTACTCGGTTACCCCGTCCCTGAGACCTTGGAGGCAGAGGCCCGGGTACCAAAGGAGAGGAGAAGAGGGGTGCCGGGGCTCACCTGGGTCACAGCACTGGCTAGGATGGCAGCTGGCTCTCCTGCCCACCCCTAGGGTCTGACCTGAGGTCCAGTCTATAAACAGAAGTTCCCATCAGAGAACAGAGGACTCCCGAGGTTCCTGTGCCCCTGGGGGATGGTTTCCTGTCCTCTCTCTGGGCACGGAGATTCACCAGCAGATGATGACACCTTCATTCTCAATAATTACCCATCTCATGAACTTAGCACTTGCCCTTCACCTGCCTAAGCCACCTGTCGTCTTCGGCCAGGTGGAGGCTGCTGTCCCCCCATGGGGCTCTGTGAGGTTTGAATAAGACCCCATGTCAGATGCCTGGCACCGCACCTGTCACACACAGGCACCCAACAGCTTTTGTGGCACCTCTAAGCAAACCCTCAGTTTTACTCCCCTGGGATCAGCCAGGGGCCTTGGGCACACTAGCAGGGGAGAGTCATCCGGTTGGGGCAAAGAGGTAGGTGACCTAGTAAGGAAGATGCTAATTTTACCTCCTCTCGCCCTGCTGTTTCCTCCTCCTGCCACCTCCTGCTTTCCTCTGGGTATTTGTCAACGAGATCTAGTTGCGGGCCTTTGGAAATGGAATCTGGTCTAAAAAAGGGGCAGTCATACTCAGATGATTGAAGAATTGTCCCTCAAAACCCTGAACTCCCCCAATTCATTAAATCTGCAAATCCCCAAGCCTAGGCCTCCAAGGATCCAGGCAATTATTTTCTCTTTAACTCCTGCCTTTATGAAACTTAGAATATTCCCCTAAAGGTCTCTGTGGGGAGAGAGGCAGGGCTCGGGAGAGTGTAGCACAAGCCTTCATCTGTCGCTTCCTCTGTGTCACTGGCATTTAGTGGACGTTCCTTCTCATCTCAATCTGGCGGACTCCTACAAAGAACATATTGGTCCTGTATTTCTGTTCCGCAGATGGAGAGGGTGAGGCTCAGAGAACTCAACTGATTTGACCAGGATCATGGAATCAGTGAGTGGCAGAGCCAGGACTCGGTCTGAGAAAGCCCAGCTCTGCCTCTCACACAGCCCCTCTCCACCAACAGAACCTCAGTCTCGCATTGAAGGAGCCTCTATCTAATGAGGAGACACCTGACTCTAAACCCAGGGGCAGTAAAAGGCATTCATTCAAAGCGCTGAAAATAAGCAGAGAGGAGAGAGAGACAGATTGGAGGAGGAGGAAGCACTCAGGCCAGGCCTTGAAGGACAGAAAGCAGGATTTAACAGCTGGAAGGATGGAGTGAAGGTCTCAAGGCTGCGAGACCTGCTTGGGCACAGGCACGGGGGTGGGAGAGTCCATGGTGCTTGTAGCCACAGCAGTGTTGATATGGGCAACAGCAAAGTGCTCTAAGAGCACCGTTCAGGAGCAGGCATTGTGCCTGGTACCGAAGGCTCCCAGGAGTGCTGGTGTGATCCGGTCACTACCAGAAGACGGCTGAGCCATTACCCATGTCCCTGAGTATTAGGCCCTGCACCAGTCAATTCAGGTTAGAGGGGACCCTCACAGAGCCCAGGTGCGGCTGCAGCACAGGAGGGGCTGTGTGAGAGGCAAGTGGCTGAACTCTGCCAGGTGGAGTCAGGGAAGGCTTCACAGAGGAGGCAACATTTGACTTGGGCCTTGACATCTATGTAGAAGTTCACCAGAGACCGAAAGAGAGGGCAGGCCCCTTCCAGACATGGAGATGGCCTCCTATACCTGGAGGAAGAGTGTGACCAGGGTGTTGGAAGTGGAGACAGGGAAGACAGTTACCACAGCAGCACTGCACACAGGCCCCTGCCCCCTCGGAAACACCCAGGAGGAAGCGAGATCCAGGCTGCTGGTCTGGAAACAACTCTCACCTGCCTTGAAGATGCAGCAGTTGTTCTTGCTCAACCACCTGGGGGCCGTGGGCCAATCCGTTGAGTGATCGTTGCCATCTCACTTCTCACCCGCCCCGTGCAGTGCGGAACCAGGAGGACACTGGTCTGTGCGGTGGTGCACTCAGACTCCAGCCCAACCTGAATTCCTGGGTGATTGAATCAGGGGCCCCAGGGGAGACATCAGAGCGCTGGATGTCCTCATTAAAATGTTTTTTAATAGCGGTTTCTAAAGCACTTTTATTACCGTCTCCATTTGGAGATTTAATTTGAGAAAAGGAAATGGAATCATTTTTCTGTGCCCGTGTTTCCTAAGAGCAAAACCAATTCCTGTTCTCCTTTGAGCATCCTGGAGAGAAGAGGAAGGAGGCCTTCACGCACACAGGCAGGGCTGGTCCTACACAGAATGCAGTTTTTTCGGGGAGGGGTGATGGCCCTGCTTGGCCCAGTTGCAGTCCTCCGTGCAAGGCTGTCCCTCCAGTGCCACGCGGAATAACTGCCAAGATGTCTTTTCTTGCAGACAAGCCACCACCTGGACATCAAGTCTGAGATGACGGCAGCTCTAAGAGGTCAGTGTGATTTTTGATCAGGAAAAGCGTGTGTACTCAGAAAAAGTCCAGGCCAGCAGGACGCTGTGACTGGTGGGCCGGGGGAAGATGCCCACTGTCACGTTCATGCTACTAAAAGGAATGGGACCCACTTCTCCCTCCCCCTTTCCTGTGTGGCGTTGTCTTCTTATTTCACAATGAGAACACACTGGAAAAATACAAACATTCAAATTCCTCAGTGCTAGAGTTTCACTCCTGGAAACTCATCCTAGGTAGATAATTCTGTATGTGGACAGACTCTGTGGACAGGCATGTTCCTGCCAGTGCATCTACGATAGTGAAAAATTGGGGGAAACCCTCAATATTGTTAACGAGCCCATATAATCAGTGAAATACAACATAGTCATTAAAATGGTACTGAAAAACGCCATGCAACAGTATGGGAATTACCATGTTCTACTAAGTTTAAAACTGTTAGGATATGGGCCGGGCGTGATGGCTCGTGCCTGTAATCCCAGCACTTTGGGAGGCCGAGGAGGGCAGATCACAAGGTCAAGAGATTGACACCATCCTGGCCAACATGGTGAGACCTCGTCTTTACTAAAAATACAAAAATTAGCCAGGTGTGGTGGCGGACACCTGTAGTCCCAGCTACTTGGGAGGCTGAGGCAGGAGAATTGCTGGAACCCGGGAGGAGGAGGTTGCAGTGAGCTGAGATCATGCCACTGAACTCCAGCCTGGTGAAAGAGCGAGATTCCACCTCAAAAAAAGAAAAAAAAGCTGTTAGGATATGGAATGTTTCGTATAATTATAACTGTATGATTCTATGTGCACGTCTGGGTCTGATCTGCAACTTAGGCTAGGACAGCAACTAAAGTTCTAGCCATGGTTACTCAGAGAGATGGTAACATGAGTGTTTTTTTTTTTTTTTGGTTCTGTTATTTTTATTATTCATTTATTTATTTATTTTTGAGATGGAGTCTCGCTCTGTCCCCCATGCTGGAGTGCAATGGCGTGATCTCAGCTCACTGCAACCTCCACCTCCTCGGTTCAAGCAATTCTCCCACCTCAGCCTCCCCAGTAGCTGAGATTACAGGCACCCACTATCATGCCTGGCTAATTTTTGTGTTTTTGTAGAGACAGGGTTTCTCCATGTTGGCCAGGCTGGTCTGGAACTCCTGACCTCATGTGATCTGCCTGCCTTGGCCTCCCAAAGTGCTGGGATTACAGGTGTGAGCCGCGGCACCTGGCCTATTTTTATTATTAAAAAGAAAAGCCACTACCTGACCAGACAGAATTTTCCTGGGCCTTCTTTTACTTTTTTAAATTTCAATAGTTTTGGGGAAACAGGTGGTATTTGGTTGGGTCTTGTTTAAGCGCAGCTTACTACCCTCAGTGTGGGGGTGGAATGGGGGTCCTAAGGATTTGTTTAGTGTTGTGTTTGGATCAGGTGCTTGATAAAAACATGTAGAACGTCTGGATGGTGTTACCTTTAAGACTGAGCTGCTGTTGAGATCTGTTCATCTAGTGGTTCTTATTTCTAGAGTCTAGTGGTTCTTATTTCTAGATTCTATTCTTGCCAGCTGTGTGGTCTTAGATGAGTTCATTAACCTCTCTGAGCCATACACTCTTTAACAGGAGGAAAACACGACCTTCCTCTGGAGTGTCTGGCCCCTGGCACATAGCATGATGTCAGTACACAACCAGAGAAACCTGTTCTCAGTCTTTGACGCCTCAGGATGGGCCTGTCCTTCTCTACCTTGGCCTTCTGTCCCTACACCCTGACTTGGCACCTGTTCTCACAGTTGGAGCCGCACAGATCCCCGCTGGTCTGCTTCTGTCACTAATTTTCTCTCTGTGGCCCCAGGCAAGTCTCCTCCCTTCTCTGGCTCAGCTTCATCCCCTTTCAAAGAAGGACATGTACTAGACCGACTGGGTGATTTTTTCACTGGACATGTCTGGAGGGCCACCATGTGCCAGATCCCACATAGGTGTTTCTGGGCTTACGAAGCTAAGCCGGCTTGTGCAGGCTGTGGTCACTGCGTGGAATGAGCTTGCAGCCAGGTAGGGGAAGGCGAGGCAGGCAGGCAGTTTTCTGGGATGTTCCAAGATCATGAGAGCACCATCAGAGGCATGTGGGTGAGGTGCTTGGAGAGCTCAAAGGCGTCTGAGAGGGCCTCTGCCCCGGGGCATGGGATCTAGGAATGATCTGGGCATGGCTAGAGAGTGAAGAAGGTTATGGCAGGGCCCAGACACTTGTAGACTTTTCACCTAGGTTCCTGGGTGGAGGCTTGACTGAGAATTTTCCCTTCCAGCTCAGACATACCTCTTGAATCCTGAAATGGACAGTGTCTTCCAAAGCTCATCGTCTTCAGAGTCCTGGCCTGTTCCCGAGCCGGAGTGGCCAGCACGGACAGCCCAACTGGATTCTCTGAAGGTGAGAAGGCACCTGTCACCTCATTTCCTAAATGAACTTTGTTATTGAAAGTACAACACATGTACAGCTTAGCAAATTATCCAAGCGATATACACCTGGAAAGACAGCACCAAGTCAAGAAATGGAACACAACTCACTCCCCAGCAGCCCCCCAGGTTTCACCCTCAGTCTCTTTCTATGATCTCATTTCAATGTTTGTTTTTGGTCAAATCATGTGTCCTAGGTCTGGTGACTTTTTTTTTTTTTTTTTTTTTTGAGGAGTCTTGCTCTGTTGCCCAGGCTGGAGTGCAGTGGCACGATCTCAGCTCACTGTAGCCTCTGCCTCCTGGTTTCAAGCGATTCTCCTGCCTCAGCCTCCCAAGTATCTGGGATTACGGGTGCCCAATACCACACCCAGCTAACTTTTGTATTTTTAGTAGAGATGGGGTTTCACTCTGTTGGCCAGGCTGGTCTCAAACTCCTGACCTTGTGATCTGCCCACCTTGGCTTCCCCAAGTGCTGGGATTACAGGCATGAGCCACCACTCCCGGCTGTCTGGTAACTTTTAGTGGATGCTGGACATCATGTATGAAACATTGACGATACAATTTGAGGCCTGACAGTATCTCCATCCACAGAGGACTTCCTTTGTTCTGGTCAGGGCAGATCATCTTCCTCACATCAGGGCTGAGTCGACGAGGAGTTCCAGTGCTCAGGAGGTCTGCTGCGTTTCTGGTTCTTGCTCACTCCTAGGGCATAAAAGCCTGTCGAGTATTTCAGAGCCCTTTCCCCTGTCGGACCCAAGAGGCTGCTCAGAGCTCTCCTTAGCTTTTCACCTTCTCAGTTGGCTCTTTCCTGCACAGGCCCTGCCTTCACCTCAAAGGGAAATACGTCCTCAAGTGTCCTGCTCACTTTTCTTGGCTTCTATTCTGTTTTCAGTTTGGGTCCCACAAGTCCTCATACACTTGGTAGCTCTCAGATGGCTCGAGACAAATGCTTTGCTACAGTCCCCCCTAGCTTTTCTAGTTGCGCTTACTGCAGGTTTGGTCCTGAAGATCCTAATCAGTCATTGCCAGAGCAGCACTCCCCTCTGTCTTCCCAGAGAAAACTTATTTTACTTATGAGCTTTGGGGTCTGGCAGATCTGAGTTCAAGTCCCAGTCCTACCCCTTTTTAGTTCCGTGTGATGTTGGGCAAGTACTTCCTCTGCCTGCACGTAACTCTCAGCTGTGAAATGCAGCTGCCTGCCTGTTACTGTTAGGAGGGGAAATCAGGCAGGCAGAGCTGAGTGTGTGCCTGGCACATCAGAGGTGCTCACAGAAAAAAAAAAAAAAAACAAAAACAAAAACAAAAAAAAAACCAGAAAGCAGCCGTTACTCAGAAGGAAAACTGCTCTTATTTTATTTCAGCTGATTGTATTTTTTCTCCCTTCTTTTATCCCTATGGCTTCTTTCCTGCCTCCATGATTACATTAATTCATTTTATCTAAAAGATGAAAGAGACAATAATATTTACCTCGCAGGCTTGTTGGGACAGTTCAGTGAAATCATGTATATGAAGTATTTATTACAGTGCCTGGAATCAAAAATAGGGGAGGTATTCAAAAAAAATGATAGCGATTGTTATTGACCTTAAACTTTTTTTTCCTGACTGGTAAATTTCATTTTAAATGACTTCTTATCTAGGAATAAAACAAAGTTTTGATCATTCCTAGGTTAATTACCTCTGATTTTTAATTTTGATCTACCTTATCAGCAGCGGGTAGAAGATATTCTAGGCAGCCTGGGTGCAGTGGCTCACGCCTGTAATCCCAGCACTTCGAGGGGCTGAGGTGGGCGGATCACTTGAGATCAGGAGTTTGAGACTAGCTGGCCAACATGGTGAAACCCCGTCTCTACTAAAAATACAAAAATGAGCTGGGCATGGTGGTGCATGCCTGTAGTCTCAGCTACTCGGGAGGCCGAGGCAGGAGAATTGCCTGAACCCTGGAGGCTGAGGTTGTAGTGAGCCAAGATCGTGTCACTGCACTCCAGCCTGGGCAACAGAGCGAGACTCCATCTCAGAAAGAAAGAGAGAAAGAGAGAAAGGGAGAGAGAGAGAGAGAGAGGGAAGGAGGGAGGGAGGGAGGGAGAAAGGAAGGAAGGGAGGAAGGAAGGAAGGAAGGAAGGAAAGAAGGAAGGAGAAAGAAGGAAAGAAAGAGAAAGAAAGAAAAGAAAAAGCAGGAAAGAGAAAGAAAGAGAAAAAGAAAGAAAGAAGGAAATAGAAAGAGAAAGAGAAAGAAAGAAAGAAAGAAAGAAAGAAAGAAAGAAAGAAAGAAAGGAAAAGAAAAGAAAGAAGGAAAGAGAGAGAGAAAGAAACAGAGAGAAAGAAAGAAAGAAGAAAAAAAAAAGAAGAAAACATTTTAGGTGAAGGGAACACTTGCAAAGAGATGGGAGGGTGAGTGCCCATGAGGCATTTGGAGGCATGGCAAGCAACATCGCTGGAGCATGAAGTATGAGGAGGTAGAGAGGAGATGAGAAGAGGATAATGACGACAGTGATGGCAACAGCAGCGAAATAGAAAACACACCCAAATCTTACTGCGCCAGCATTGGCTCATCCAGTCCCACAAAGGGCTCACCAAACAGATATCAGCATCAGCTCCACTTTACCTGTGAGAAAAGATGAGGCACAGAGGGGGCAAAGTTCACCCAGCTCATAAGCAGCTGGGCTAGGCTGGGCTCCCAACCCAGGGCGCCTGGTTCCCTCTGACCCTCTGATCGTTACATGGCCAGATGGTGTGTGACCTGGATGGGGCGGGGTTAGGGGGAGAGGAACAGTCCCCTCCTCCCTCCCTCAAAGTTCCAATCTGGAGCTCAGTGTGAGAACAAACTCTCCAGTGTCTGCTCTCGGGATATTGGCCAGAAACCTGTAGCAAAGCTTCTGAGGAAGTAGGTGAAGTAACATGTTGCATGAACGGATAAACCAAAAACGCATCTCAATACCCTTATGGTTCCAAGTTTGTCAGGTGTTCTTCAGCTTTTGTCAAAGTCATCACCACAAACACAGAATCCCACTGGACTGGAAATGCTATGGACTTGAAATGATTTCCTCTGTTGGAAATCATTTCAAGTCCATAGGGGACTTCCGTTTCTTTGCAGCAAGATGGCAGAATGTCAATTTAAACATTTTCCCCATGCTTTGCATGGTACCTGGCCCACAGGAGGCCTTCAGAAGCACTTGTTGGGTGAGTAGTTAGCCAGAGACAGGGGCCATCAGGCTTTTTCTCTGGAAGGCGCACGGCACCTGCCCCTGGTTCCCAGCACTGCATTTTTGCTGCAGTCTTAGTTCTGTCCAGTCATCATGAGCATCTGGGAACACAGCTTCTTGCCTTGGGCAAAAACAGACTGCAAGCCACATGTCTGGGCTGGTTTTGGGGAAGAGCTTCCCATGCTGAAAACAAACTTGTTAAATAATGACACCAGGAGATTCGTGATCTACAAGGAAAATGAGGCATGGAGTTTTGAAGGGCAGTAACTAAATTTGTCACATGTCACACAATTCTATTACTGTATGGTTGAGCTTAGCGAAAAAAGGAGAAGAGAGCTTAAGAGTACACAAACATGTCCTGAAAAGGCTGACAAATCTTTAGTGAATGAGGAAATGTTTAGCCCTCTGTAATGTCAGCCTCATCCTATCACTCACCCACTGAAGATCCAACACTGCATCCCGGGGTTCAGCTGTTACTGTGGTGGGGGTTCATACAGGCTTGAGAGCCATATGGCCTGAGTTCAAATCTTGCAGCAGGCTGCTATTAGCTGTGTGGCCTTGGGCACATCACTTCACCTCTCTGGGCTTCTGTTGCTTCATCTGTATGATGGGATAATAATAATAGCACTTATCTCCTTGGTATTTTGTAAAGATGCAATGAATCAATACATGGAAAGCATTTGGAAGGATACATCGTAAGAACTCAGTAAACTGTTGTAGATCGCACCCCAGGAAATTGCCAATATTATACTACTCTTTCCCTCAAAAACAGTAGTTTCATATTGCTTAAACTATCATTATTATTATTATTATTATTATTTTTTTTTTTTTTTTTGAGATGGATTCTCCCCCTGTTGCCCAGGCTGGAGTGCAGAGGCACGATCTCGGCTCACTGCAACCTCTGCCTCCCAGCTTTGAGTGGTTCTCCTGCCTCAGCCTTTTGAGTAGCTGAGATTACAGGCATGCACCACCACACCCAGCTAATTTTTGTATTTTTAGTAGAGACAGGGTTTTACCATGTTGACCAGGGTGGTCTTGAACTCCTGACCTCAGGTGAGCCACCCACCTCAGCCTCCCAAAGTGCTGGGATTACAGGCATGAGCCAGGCCGAATATCATTATTATTATTATTATTATTATTATTATTATTATAAGATGGAGTCCAGACTCTATGCACACATTAGTCAGCCCAGAATGACCTTGCGTTTTAAACACATAACAGAATCCTGCTCCTCCCCAAAAGCTGAGCTCAGACACTACCTCCGTGAGGCCTTCCCAGATCTTCAGTGTGCAATCGTCACTTCTGTCCTGGAGGCTTCGTCAGCACCGTGGGTCTCTCTTTGGGATTGAATACTGCAGCATAATATCGAGTTTATGTGTCTGCCTCTCCCACTGGATTGGAAGTGCTTTGAGGGCAGGGACAGGGTCAGGCTTGCCACATAATGACCGCCGATTCCCTGCCTCTGCTGTCCAGCCTCTTCTTCAGCCGTCTTCCACCGGCAAGGCAGAAGGCCCTGCACATTGCAAACCTGCGGCTGCTCTTGCCTCCTGGGACTGGTGGAGAAGTTGGCTCTATTCTGCAGATCTGTCTGGCAAGGCACAGACACACCTGACACACCCTTTAGAGGAAGGAGAAGAGGCATTAGCAGGACTCACATGTTACCTGGTGAGGCGGTCCTTCCTGTCGTTTGCAGAAAAGGTGCCTGAGAGGTGTGAGATGCTGGTCCTGAAGGAATCACAGGCACAATAGTGACTGGAAAGGAGACATAGAAAGAGTGGAGATTTGAAATCAGATGGGCTTAGCTTTAAACTCTGAGCCTGCCACTTCAGAGCTAATGCATTCAGTGAAGGTATTTAGAATCTCTTAAAACTGTTAAGTGGATTTTCATCTATAAAGTGGGCCTGATGATAGCTTGTTGGGGGAACTAAGTGAAGGCAAGTAAGATGGCACATTTGGGGAAAGCCCTGAGATGTGCTGGGCATGAGGTTTGCAAACAGCAAGACATTAGTTCCTCTTCCAAGGGAAGGTCACTTTCTCTTGTCACTGGGAAGCAGAAAATTTATAGAGGACATCCACTCTACAGGACTCTTGACTGTATTGTTAGGCACCTGCCGCATGACGTGGAGGGGGAGTCTCACGCTGCCCCAATCTCATTTTCTGACCCAGAACACAGTGAGGACAGCGTGTGTCTCACTGAACTGTCACCAAAGGAAGTGAGCCAATGTGTGAAGAGTATTTGGTGCCAGGCACAGAAAGTGCCCCGTAACTGTTAGCTATCCTTGTCGTCTCTTCCTTTGATTAAATGTGTGAACGGAGGGGCTTTTACAAACATTGGGACGCAGAGACCATTTCACTGTCCTCTTGCCTGCAGCTCCCTCTGTCCTTGGTGTCCACGCTTGATCCTGGAACGTGCCTGGCAGCGGTCACTGTGGAACCAGGACTCTCCACACAGCGTCTGCAAGAGAAAGGCGGAATGCCCTGTCCTGCCCTCCAATCCGATGACGCCCCAGCACCCTCCGAGCTCCTGAGCCCAGCGAGGATCCTGGCTTTTCACCAAGAGCTTAGACAAAGCATTTGCAGCAATTCCCAGGTCCATAAATCACCGCTGGAGTTATAAATGTAATAGGGCCACTCATTCTCCGGAGCCATTTCATAGACTCCATAAATATTTGAAGCAGAACCTTCAGAGAGTGCTTTAAGAAATTGGTAGCAATCAAAGTCCTCATTCAGTGGCAAGTGGTTTTGCCTTCGGCTTAGGGATTTTGTGTTCAATGTCAGAGCCTGAGAGAAATGCTGGCCTGTGCCTGGCAAATTCTGAGGAGTCTGGCTTCAGCAATGTCGAGGCAGCAGAGGAACTATTTACTGTACCAAAGCCTGTTGAATGTTTGGCCCAGAGGTTCTCAAATGGGCGCTGGTTTAGCCCCCAGGGAAAATCTGGCCGTGTCTGGAGACGTTTTGGGTTCTCACAGCTGGGACGCTGCTACTGGCATCTGGTGGGTAGAGGCCAGGGATGCTGTGAAACATCCTACAACACCCAGGCCAGCCTCCTGCGGCAAAGAATTACAGCCCGAGGTTCACCAATGCTGAGGCCGAGAGCCCAGGACGGATCTCGCAGCTCTGAACATGATCAGCCATGGAGAATTGTTTTGTGATTTTTCTGCCCCTGGGGTCCTTCCCATGTTTTAAAGGATTGTTTTTGTCTACTAAGTGAAATCCCTAACTTAAATCATTGCATATTTTACATTTAAACACATTAAAACCAACCAGAACTTTCTCATCAGTCCATTCACTCCAAAAATGTCTGTCCATATCCACTGGATGCCAGGCCACGTGGTATGTAGGAGAAGAGATGAGTCAATGTTGATCCCAGCTCCAGGACCTCACAGGACAATGGGAGAGATACTCTTGTGAGTAAATCAGCACGCACACAAGTGTCACATGTGCCCTGAGCGACAGGATGAAGGCAAGGGTCAGTTCTACTTGGCTTGGGAGAATTGGAAGTAAGCCACAAAGGAATGGCTGAGCAGCGTCCTGTGGGTGAGGTGGGAAGGGTGCTGCCATATGAGGGAACGCATGTGCAAAGGCCCTGAGGTATAAAACTGAACTGCGGATGTGCCCCTGGAGGGGAAGTGGGCAAAGCATGCGCCTGTCAAGCCAGCTACAAGCAGTCACTGCCTCGTTCCCATCCAGCACCCCTTCCTTCCCCCGAGAACAAAGACTCATGCCCCGAATCAGGTGGGTGACCCAGGAGAAGAGCACTTCCATCCTGAGGGCAGCCCCCCAAAAAGAGAGTCCGGGGGGCTTGGATGACACACACCAGACCCTGACCCAGGCTCACCCACTAGAGATGCCACCTCTCTCTTTGGGAAGGGGTCAAGGAGGGGCTTAAGGAAAAGCCCAAAGCCACTACCTCTCCAATTCTGTCCCCTCCTGGAAGTGGCTGTCCCTTCCTGGAAGGACAAACAAGGACGAGGACAAGGAACTGAGGGCTCCCCAGGAAGTGTCAAAGTGCGTAGATTTATTTTAACGTAGGTTAGCTTTTTGTTTTGAAATGAAAATTACACAAAGTTCCCACAGACTCCTCCCCGGGCTTCCCTTGATGTTAACATCTCATGTGACTTATGTTGTACAATTATAGAAACTAGTGGGTTTTATTTTGAGGAAAATTGGGGAGCCATTGAGACGTAAGAAAGGCAGCCTCAGCACATTGAGTTCCACCCTTTAAATTCGTTTATGGGGTTTTCTGATGGGTTAGCACATTCATCCATGTATTCCTGGATTGATTTACCCACAGATCTGTCTATTTATTTATTCAATATGCATTTAGTGACTGCTGTGCGAGTGTCTGGCTAGATGCTGCTGGGGAAGAAGTAAAGATGATGCTGTCCACCTAGGTTTTCAGGGACCCCCCTGGAGACCCTGTGGCCCCGTTACCACCCCTCAAGGAATCCCCAGATTGAAAACCACTGCAGTGATCCCTTTGTCGGTTCGACCACCCCATGGCTTCCCTATAATTTCCAAGCAGGAAGTGACCTGCAGCACTGGTTTGGTGATCCGCCTTCTACCTCCCTCTGTATTTTGGGACAACATCATTAGCTTTGAGCATCAGGAACATGACGGAGAGAGGACAGAAACCCGGTACAGTTGAGGACAGCCAGCTGAGGCCTTGCTGAGCCAGCGAGATGCAGCGTGGTGCCACCACATCTGGTCTCCAGGACTCCCAGGAGCTCAGACGTCCGGCGTCTTGTCACTTCATGCTCCCCCCTGCTGCGCTCACGTGCTGGGCCTGGGCAGAAAGGCAACCCAGGAAATCCATTAAAGCAAGCCAGGATGACCTTTGCAGCTTAACCCAATGATTCCCTAGTAAATCATGTTTCCAAGGCAGAAGCCACTTATTTGCTCAGGCCGTGAATTCCCATCTGGGTCTACCTAGCACTTTGGGTCGGCTGAAGCTTTGTGCCGTGGCTCCCTGGGACACTTTTACAGTGCAGGATGGCGGACTCCTGCATTCCCCTTACCTGGTCTGTAGACCCCAGCCCTTGGAAGGGCACACAGTGACTCCTTGCCACCCATCAGATGCTCCAGGGCAGGACCTGCTCTGGCGACCCAGCGGGTTCAAGCAGGAACTTGGCACACAGGAGCTGGTCTCAGGCTGCCCCACGGCAGGGAATGACTCTACGAGTGACCTTGAGGCCTCTGGAGACCAGCCAGACATCCAGTCTGGCTCTGCAGCAGAAAACAATTTGTCACACCGACTGTCAGCAAACAACAATGGTGGACTTCCCTGGAGGCGGAGTCCTAAACCCTGCAAGGTAAATGCACCCCTCCCCCACTGCACAAAGAGGCCCCACCTCGGCTTTTAAGCAAATCAGAGGAGAGGGTTGGCGTGGCCCGAGGCCAAGCAGCAGAAGCATTAGAGTAAGGTCCCTCCCTGCTGCCTGGCTCATTTTCCTGTGCTCCTGGGAGGCCTTCTGCTTGAGCCGCAAAGGAGTTCTGCTCAGCAGATGTTTCTCTGAGTATTTGTCAGGACAGGTGAAGGCCTGGGGTCTAATCACAGGAGTCTCACTCCAGGTTCCTGTCCTCCAGAGTCTGCTCTGACTGAGTGACATGAACAGGGACAACACAAGGCCCAGGGGCCATGGAGTGGGCAGCTGACCAGTGAGCAGTCAGGGAGGGCTTCCTGGAGGAAGTGTCCTCTGAGTTGAGCCCTGGAGATGAGTAGGGATCAGCCTGGGAGAGGAGGCCTCCAAGCTAGGAGAAATCATGAGCAAAAGCCCAGGTGGGGTTGGGGTAGGAAATGGTGGTAGAGATACATGGCTTTCTGTAATCCTGGAGTGGAAGGTTCCAGAAGGAAGACATTGCCTTTTTTGTGATCCTACTGTGTGACCCTCTCTGATGTTCCCACAATGAGGAAATCACTTAACCACACACTTCTCACAACCTGTCCCCGTGGGTTATATGCATGACTGTGTATCTGAGGGTAAATTGCTAAGAGGGAATTGTGGGTCAGAGGAGGTTAACGTTTGTCTTTTTGCTGGCCTTGACCAAACTTGACTCCTCACCTCTCTTTGAAGTTGTAGCAGTTTTTGAATCTACTTGCAGAGCTTGGGGGTGCCTGTGGCCCCCAACCCTGCCAGCACCCACCTGTGATGTGTGGATTGGGCTCTGCACTGACAGGGATGCTTCTGAGTAGGGGAGATGGGAGTTAGCAAGCAGGTGTTTGCTTCCTGCCTTCACTGGAGGGGCCAGCTGCGTTTCTATCTGCAGGTGCTCACAGGCAGGAGTGATCTCAGCTGGGAGACTGGGATCTGGCTGCCGGAGATGACTGATAGAGCACTGGGCAGTTTGGAGGCTGGTGAGGGGCTGAGAAGTGGCCTTTGGGCTGAGCCAGGAAGGTTGCTATGGTCCTGCGTTCCTATCCCCATCCGCCACACAGCAGCTGTAGACCCTCTGCCTAGGCCCCTTCAGGCCTGGCTTCCTCTTGGGAAAATGGAAATTACAGCCCTGTGACATCATCTTATCTCATGGAGCCTTGAAAGGTATCACGTGGCCAGTGCCCGGCGGTGGCATTCACAGCCCAGGTGTGTGACCACCCCTCGTCCTTTCCCCTGTAACGCTGGAGGCAGGTGACCCAGAAGCCAAGCACACACCCCCCCCTGGCTTTGCATCCCAGCTCTTCCCCTTACCCCGCCTCTCCCCGCCTCGGTGATCTCGTCTGTAAAATGGGGATGCCTGCCTCCAAGGGCAGTGGTAAGGCGTGAGTGAGTAAACATCTATGAAGTGCTCAAGGGGGGGCCCTGTGACATGCTTAGAGCTACGGAAGTGCCGCCACTGCTTTATCTCCATGCGTGTCATTTTTTAAAAACATAATGAAAAGAAATCACTTAAGGTGCGGGTGGGAAGGAGAGGTAGGGGCGGGCGCTCAGAGGGAGACACGCTCACAGCTGAAGAGCTCAGGAGGAAGACAGCAGGGGTCAGAGGGAACCAAGGCTGCTGCTTCGGGCCTGTGCACAGGGCAGGTCAGCGGAGGTCTGCAGGGGTTCTAACGAGCCTGTCCAGAGGTTTCCTTCTCAGCTTTAATCCTGAAAGTAACAGGAGTTCAATGCCTGTGGCTGCTGAGGCTTCTCTCGGGTCTCTCCCAGCCAGCATCTCTGGTCCGTTCCACTGGTCCGTCTTTTCTGGAACAGCCTTTCCCTTGGATTTGAGGGTTGTTTTGTCTGGGCCTTCTGGAGGTGGGCTGATCTGGGCATCTTCTGTTTCCTAAATGTCCACGTTTGTTCATCCGGAAGAATTTGCATCCCTGCTGCTTGGGCCAGTACCTTTTACTTGATTTGACCCTTTTTAAAATGAACGAATCGAATACAGGCTGGCACGTGACGCTCCAGAGCCCTCTCCTCTCCATGCACTGCCTGCCCAGGGAAGCCTAGGTGGGCGTGGAGGTCAGCTTTGCTGCCTGGAGCTGATCCCCCTCCCCCATCCTCCCAGCCCATCTTTTCTCCTCTCCTTTCCCTCCCAACACATATCAACTCCCTCCTCTGCTACAGAACCTCAGCCCATTGCTCCCTGGGGCCCTCGAGCCATGGCTCTGTCTGAGTGGCTGAGAGTAATTTAGCATTGGGCAGCAGGTGCAGGGCTGAGGGCAGGGGTGGGAGGAGCTGGGCCCCCAGCTGCTGCTGCTTCCCCATGCCCAGCCCCGGGGCTGGGTTCCTGGTGTTTGCTGGACACTGGACCAGACCCCAGATCAATACTCCACCCCCAGCCTCACACACACAAGGGGACACTGCAGACAGGACCTAGAGTAGCCAGTCCTCATTGTCACTGATAGTCCATCCATGGCACACACACTGACTGCTCTGGGCCTACTGTGTGCTGCTGCTGTCCTGGGAGCCAGGGAGACAGAGCCAGGTCTTAGCTTGACTGCTGGGTGGGGCTCACTGTCAGGCAGCAGGAGCCAAAGAGGCATCGACCCCGCTCTTCCAGAGCTACTGCATCTGGTTGTTCAGGTTGTGTCCTAAGCAAGGCACTTGGTCCAAGGGCAGGAGGGGCTGAAATCCAGTCGTACTCTCTCCTTGGGCTGTGCCTGACTGGAGGAAACAATGCCTTTTATAAGTTCTTACAGAGGCTGCCTCGGTCATCCTGGCCAAGCCCTGCCACCTATGTCCACCTGGAGCGGGCATCTTTTTGCAATTCTGCACAAAGGCACTGTGTGGCCCAGCACAGTGTTTTTTGCTGACTCAGACCTAGCGGTGCTGAGTCAGCAGCCTGGGGTGGGCAGGTCTTGGAGTCCCCGAGGCCTCCCAGCAGGGCCCTCCAGCTTGTACAGTGCCAGGGGGGCTGGACCTGCCCCCAGGCGCCCTCCTGCCAGACTCAGGAGGCTGGCACTCTCCCAGGACCTGGCCTGCGAATAGCCGTGCCGTGGGATAGTGGGACAGTGCTCTCGGCTCACTGGTGGGATTAGGATACTGCTGTCACTGAGTCCTGCCTTTTGTCCCCAGATAGTCCCAGCACCTGCATCCTGGGTCCTCCTTTAGGAAGTTACTGTGACTCCACCCATGCCCAGCTTGAGGCCAGTTAGTACAAGGACCCAGGGCAATGGGGATGATTGTGGAGCTTCTGCTTCATAACTGTGTGTCTCTAGGTGAGTCATTTAACCTCTCTGTGTAAGTCAACTGTAGCCTCAATATTGCTGTGTAGCAAACCAGCCCAAACTCAGTGACTCCCAACCATTTTTTCTTACTCTGCGGTCTACAGCTTGGTAACGGTTCGGCTGACCACGCTGCGCTCAGCTGGGAGGCTTTGCTTCAGGCAGAGGACTGGGATGCAGGCCCGCCCATGCCACGGGAAGTCGTGTGAACATCAGTGGGGTGGGGACTCACACTCCTCTGCCATGGCAGGAGGAGGAGGAACTGACGGCATCCAGCCTCCTGCCTCTCACAGTGGACCTAGCACACCCCATGCAGGACAGGGGTCAAGACCAGAAGCAGCCACCTGAGAACAGTGCTCATCACAGAGGAGGCTCCCAGCAGCTTTCGGCTCCCTTTGGCTCTTCCTTGAATACCTTCACAATGGCATAAAATATTTCCAGGCAAAACCAAAACTTACGATAGGGAATTCAAGTGGAGTCAGGGGTGGACGCACACAGCCGGTGCCAAAACAAGTCGTTCTTGGAGGCGGGAGTGCCCGGTGCCGGTAACTGTGCATGTCCAGGACCTCTCTGAGCGCGCTCCTTCCTCTTCTGGAAACCTGGCTTTGCTTCTGGCTTCTCCCTGAGGATCTAAACAGAGATGTGCAAAAAAGAATGATGGAGGCCTCAAAGGAGCCAGCCAGTTTCTTTCTTTAGCACTTGGCCTTTTAGGCGGCTTGGAATATCTCCCCCCAAGTTCCCTTAAGGCAGGGAAGTGGTGAGGGAAGGGGTGGATGGAGTGGATGGAGGTCCCCAGCCAAGGACCTTCCACCTTTCCACCCGCAGCCAGGTGGGGAGCGGTGGTCCCTTGACTGTGCCACCCAGAGCCAGAGACCAGCCCCGCTGCTTCTGAGGAGGGGCCAGTCAGTGCTCACGCGCTTCACCCTGCTCCCTCTCTCTCGAGGCACCTGCTGTCCCCACTGCCAGCCCTTCTAGGATTCTGGGGTGCAATTCGGCTGGCTTCTCATTGGCTTTCTGTGCAAAATCAGTAGAGCAAAGAAAGCTGAAAAGTAGCTTAACTTCTTTTCTCTCCTCCTCCTTATCTATCTATCTATCTATCTATCTATCTATCTATCTATCACCTATCCATCTATCTTCACATCCCCTCCATCAGCAGGTCTTGTCACCTCCACCCAGGATCCAGATGCCTCTTAGGACTCCTGACCCTGGTTCGTTGGCAGCTCCATCCCCGGTGCCTAGAACAGTGCCTGCCTCCTCCCAGGGCTCGATACATGCTTGTTGAATGACTCCATGAACTCCATGAACTAGTTGCTTCATTTTATTTGAATGGCACTTCGAAGCACATATTTTATTGTATCTCACTGTCTCAGTGCAAGTTCTCTTAGATGAGAAAATATTATCATCCTTTTTATTTTTGCTTAGGGAGTAGAGGGGGTAGGAAGGCAATGGTTCAGGGAAGAGCAGAGGAGGAGAGGGATTGGAACCCAGCTCCCCTTGCACATTGCCACATTGCCACATTGCCACCTGCTGCTGAAGGAGGAGAGAGCCCAGGTTTCGCTGGGGTTGGGGAAGAGATCTGGATTAGCAAGAATGTAGGTCGGACAGAGAGTGAACGCATTGTAGGAAGGAATGGAGAAGAAACAGGAGGTGTGGAGGGTGGTAGAGCAG